CTAAAGCCTCTCTTTGGCATTGCCTCTGATTAGGAGGCCCTGGGGGCACCATGACACCTAGCAGTGTGCCCAGTGGGCAGGAGGGCGCAGGAGGGAGGATCCAAGCTGGAGAGCTTCCAGGGGGCTGGGAAAGACCAGGACCGTGATCTACATGATGAGGCCTGTGAGATTTCCAGGAAACCTCCTGCCACTGAGGTGTTCTCTGACTTCCCACGCCTTCTTGAAGACTTGCCTCCCACTGACCCAGTGACCCTCACTGCCTCACTGCAGCCTGTCTGGGCCCCTGTCCTGGGTGGGTGGGAGCAGCAGGAAGGCCCATCAAAAGCAGAGGTGAGGTAAGCCGAGGAGTCTGAATGGAAGAGCAGAGATTTCAGGGTCAGTGGAGCAGATGGAAGCTGGGGTGATGGCGGCTGGCTGGGGTAGGGCTTGGGCAAAGCAGGAGTGACTGGTCCAAGCCTCTGCTCAGCTCTGGCCAGGCCTGTCCAGCCTCTCATGCCTTCCCTGCAAGAGGCACATCACTGTCTGCCAGAGCTGACTCTCAGGCCTCCTGCCTGGACCGCTGCAGTATCCTAATTGGTTTCTGTCTCTACCTTCCAAGCCATCCACACGCTGCCACCACTGCAGCCAGATTAATCTTCTTAATACACTGCTTTGCACATCTCCTCCCTCCCTTCCCACCCATCCAGGGCTTCAGTGGCAGCGTGATAGGCAGAAACAGGTCCAGCTGGAGTCAGGGAGCAGAGGAAGGCTGTTCCCCCTGGCCCTGCTGACCTTGTAGCCTTCTTTCCCACCAGCCCCTCTCACCCTTTGATCTGGGCAGACCACTTGATCCTTGGTTCTGCAGTGTGCCCTGCACACCCCTTCCCTTGCTGCCCCCAGTTGGGGACACCCTCTGTGGACATCCTCCCGGGCTGTCCTCCCCACTGGCCCACTGACCTCAGCCAGGATTGAGCTTCTGTGGCTTCTAGGTTTTGTCCCCAGTGTGGTGTTTAGTTGCAGCCTTGCAGATATCGGTCCTGCCATGTGTGAGCCTGGTCCTGGGCTGGGGTTTCTCACAGGCTTTCACTCCTTTCTTCTGTAGAGCAGCCTCCCAGGAGGTAGTGTTACCCTGTTTAACAGAAGAGGCCACTGGGGATCTGAGAGGCAAAGGGACTTGCCCAAGATCACATAGGAAGAAAGTCTCAGAGTTGGTGGTACCTTTCTAACACCAGTGTTCGGCACCCAGAGGGCACACTTAGGGCTAGTTGATGGAGCTGCTGTGGGGCTTGGGGAGCCCTTGTGCTGGGAAGTACTGAGCAGCTTACCGCTGCTGTAAGGTGACAGCCCGAGGGGAGGTGTTATGAGATGGGAGATGGAGATTTACAGTCTGCATCAGCACAGACGAGAGACCTGGGGCCTCTGGGTGGGATAAGCTCAGGCTACCTGGCCTCATTTCACAGAAAGCTCCACTGGGCCTTGACATCTGTGGACAGCAGGAAGGATGCAGGCTAGACCTGGGAAGGGACTTCCACAGCTGGGGACAGCCAGTGAGGGGAGGCTGGCTCCAGCCTGATGGCTTTGTGTGCTCTCTGCCTGTGCTCTGTCTGGGTGTATGGTGGGGGCGACGTTGTGGAAAGGGTCTTGAGGACAGAGATGTAGAGCAAGGCACAACGGACCCGGCTCTGCACCTCTCCAGGAGGGCGGTGTGACCTCCATCAAGGCACCACACCCCTCGGAGCCTCAGTTTCCCAGACTGTCTAGGAGACTCACAGCCCTCCCTCGTTTCGTTGTGAGCAGGGAGGAAATGAAATCCCAGGAGGAGGTCTTCAGCCTGGTTGGCCTGTGGTGGTCACTGGCAGATGTTGGCTCCACCCCTGCCCCTTTTCAACCGTAATTACAGCTCCAGTCCCTGGGGCAACCTTGTTGCTAAGATTGTGTCTCAGTGTCCTCATCCTGCATTTTCAGATCGTTCCCAGCCTCCAATTTAGTAACTTGGACAGACCTGGCTATCTGGGGGAGGAGGGCTCTTTTTTCCGTGGCTCACTGGAGGGAATACCGGGGCCCTGGAGAAGATGACGCATTGACCCTTAGTGTTGCAGGGAGACTAGAGAGAGCGAGGCAGGGCCCTTTCCACCCGCATCAGGCTGCCCTGCTTCTCCAGGCCCGGAGCCACTTGGCTGGGCAAGAGAGGGGTTCCAGCCTTTGCTGGCACCGCCCTTGACAAGGGCCAATGAGGCAGGCCTTATGGGGCGGCAGGCCTCGCAGGAGCCCAGCATCATCCTTCTCCACGAGCCTCTCGGCGGTGTGCAGGAGAGTGAGGTGTGCACGTGACCACGAGCCGTCGGTACAGACTCCTGAGAGCCCTGTCGATAACACTGGGGAGTGAAGAGAACAGTCTCCTTCTCCACACGCAGTAGCAGCTGGACTTTTAGAATTCACTGATTGAGTAAATATGTGACATCAAAAGCTACTGTCTTTTCAGCGACTTTTAAAAGAACATTTCATTAATTTTTATTTTTAGCAGCTTTTTGGGGGTATGGTTTACATGCCATGAAATTTGCCCATTATAAGTGTACCTTGGCTGTGTCTTCACATTGAGTTGGTCTTTATTCCCAGAGCTCTGTTGATTTGAATATAATTTTATCTACATTAGAAGACATGTTGTGTATCCAGTCCACTGTGTGTCTGGATTCACAAGCCCCTTTCCATCACCGTGGCTTGGTTCCGAATCCTGACTGTGTAATATTCTAGGAGTCAGAGGGATGTGGGATTGGGCCCCACCCCAGCTCTTCCTGACCTGTGACTTTGAACTGGTCACCCTCCATCTCTTGGCGTCTTTTGCTCCTCTGAGACTAGCATGGCAGGACTACTGTGTGAATGGCATTAGGGGAGGTGCATGGTGGGCCAGAGAACCTGTAAGACATCATACCTGTGTGGTCCATGTTCATTTTAATCTAATCCAAGGCCCGAAAACACAGCAAGTGGCAGAGTGACAGGGAGGAGGGTTCGCCGACTCCTGCTCCCTGGCAGACCGGACTTGGAAGCACAGAGAGGGGATCCTCTTGGGCAGGCGGGGTCTGAGCCTGGGGCTTTATGTGCATTGATCCCGGCTCCGCCCCACCTCCCATACTGTGCTCACGCTGGAGACACTTAATGGCCCTGTGTGACCTGGCTAACCAGGTCAGGTGGCAGTGCCTCCACTCACAATCCATGGAGCAACGACTTACTTGGGATCTGCTGGAGCAACAGGCTCCATGCCATACCGGCCCCCACGACAGCCGCTCCCCCTCTGTACAGCTGGCTCTCTGCCTGCCTGCTGGCCCTGGCTCTGCCCCCAGGCCTGTCTTTGTACAGTCTGAAAGTTTAGCTCCCTCTGAGTGGCTGTTGACCCTGAAGCCCCCAAATACCCCTCACCTGCTAGTCAGAAGCCCCTTGTTCCGAGTCTCTCCACCTCCCACCCAAGCTGGCCACACAAAGTAGGGCCATTAGGATACATTTGTTTGTCCCCAGGCCTGGCTGCGGGCTTGGTTGGGCAGCTGGCCAGATGAGGCAGTGAGAAGCAAGGAGAGGTATCTGATGGAATGAGGGCCTCATTTGATTGTTTCATTAACCCAAACTTTTTAAGCACCTACTATGGACTTGGCCTCTGTCCTCCAGGCCAGACACCTAGTTTGTCCAGACATCCATCAGGTGGACAGTGGGGTCCATTGAGCCAACCATATCTCTTCTTGCTTCCCCAGCCCTCTGCCTGGCCACACCCCTCCCTTCTTCAACCAGAACCAGGCTTAGGTTGCTCCTGGTCCCCCCACCCTGTGCCACCCCACCCAAGCCCTTGCCTGGGGAGACTCCACAAACCTTCGGGCGTTCAAGGGCTGCCTCTCTCCCAACTAAGCCTTTCTCTGTGTGTTCACCCCTCACCTTCTCTCCCCTGAACTCCCAGACTTGCTGCCTGGATAATTTATTTAAACTGAAGCATTTAAGCCCTGTTGTGGTTATTCGGCTGTTTTGTGTGTGTACAACGTGTTTCTAGCAGACACTGAGCTCCTGGGAGGCAGGGCGTGTGGCTGGCATGTTTTTGCAGCTCCTTTAATGCCTAGTGCATTGCTAGGCACTTCATATTGAAAGCGAGGTCACTAGTGAGCTGGAATGGCAGATGAGACAGGGTTCGTCATTAGTCCTTCTGAGGACTCTCTAGGGTGCATCCTCGGTCCCTATCCCAGATTCGGGTAGGGAGCATGAAAGGAAATACCTCCAGTGTTTCACATTTGGCCAGAAAGGTTGCAAATCTTGCTGAAGGTCACACAGTGAGTGACAGGATAGGTTGTCTCGGGCTCAGGCTGGTCTCCTCACCTGTGATAACCCTTCCTGGGTGTCTGGGTGTCTCCATTCTGCCTATCACCATGTGTTCGACTGGGAATGTGTGCATTTCTCTCTCTCTCTCTCTCTCTGTGTGTGTGTGTGTGTGTGTGTGTGTGTGTGTGTGTGTGTGTCTGGAAGGAAGCAAGAGTAGCCAGCTGTTGTCCAAGAGAAGGCTGCCAAGTCCACAGAGTAATTGTGGAATACGTGTGACGTTGTGTGGGGCTTCGTGACCGGGTGTGTCTGTGAGGCCTTGGCAATCACCCTCTGACATCCGCCAGCATTGTCGTGCTGCTGGCCTGGGCCCGCTAGGCTGACATTGTAGCCTAGGTCAAGATGGGCCATGCAGCTCCCAGCAGGAGATAGGGTGGAACCCACAGCACAGGCCTCCCGTTAAGCCTGCGGCCCCTGAATCTGAGACCCAAAGCTGGGGAATGGCTGCAGCTATGCGTTTCACGTGGCCCTTTCCTGGGGCCCTGCCCCTGGATGCATTTCCTCCTGGAGCCTTTGGGGCAGGGTCCTCCCCATGGGCCTGAGCATCCAGCAACCCCTCCACACAAGCTTGCTGTTCCTGCTCCTCCTCTCCCTGGTGTCCCATGTTTGGAGGACTGGGCCGAGGGGCTCGGGGATAAACCAGCTGCCTCACATCCCACCCTGCCCTGCAGCCTGAGGAGCTTACCAACGCCCTAGAAATCAGCAACATCGTCTTCACCAGCCTCTTTGCCCTGGAGATGCTGCTGAAGCTGCTCGTGTATGGTCCCTTTGGCTACATCAAGAATCCCTACAACATCTTTGATGGTGTCATTGTGGTCATCAGGTATGACTAACCCCCGCCACTGACTCTCACTTGAGGAATGCCAGCAGGGGTGGCTTGGGGCCAGGGGCAATGCCACCTATTCCCCTGGGGTGGAGGGGTCTGAAGTCAGGCCCCACTGACCCCACAGGATCTGCCACTCCCCCTAGGTGGGGGGCTGTCTGTGTCCCCATGCCCCCTCCATCTCTCTCTTGGCCCCACCTTGCTCATGTGGACCTTGGGCTCACCTCTTCATTGCCCAGGCCCCTCTTTAGTCTCCTCTCCCCACTCCTACCTCTTGTCCTTGACCCCACCCAGGCCTGGGATGGGCGAGGGTTGGGGATTGGCTTTAGAGAGGAGTTGGAAGAAGTATGAGGCCCAGCCAGCTGCCCGGCTCAAAAAGTGCTTGGAAATCATCTCAGACACCAGCAACTTGCTTTAGGGTTTCCAAGACCTTGGGAAAGTGCTCCTTCCTCCCCAGGCCTGGGGCCAGGAGAACCACTTTATTGCCTTTGGAATTGGCTTTAGATTTCATTAGAAGAGAACAAAGCAAATATTCCATAACTTGATGCAGTTGCATTGGCCAAATTTAGGGAGGGGGCTGTCTGCTGCCAGGATGTGATCTCTGGTAGGGATGAGAGGGCAGAGGGGGCTGGGCTGTCACCCAAATCTTCACTATCTCAGAGGCTCCTGCTTGGAGGTCTGCGTGCCCACTTGTGCCCCATTTTCTCTTGATGTGCCCGCTCAGCCAGGCCCTTGGGTGCTACTGAGTCCTCTCCGAGGGAGTAGGGGGAAAGAGTGAAGGTGCAGGGGGCTCAGGCTGCCTGCCCCTTTTGCAGCGTGTGGGAGATCGTGGGCCAGCAGGGGGGCGGCCTGTCGGTGCTGCGGACCTTCCGCCTGATGCGCGTGCTGAAGCTGGTGCGCTTCCTGCCGGCGCTGCAGCGGCAGCTGGTGGTGCTCATGAAGACCATGGACAACGTGGCCACCTTCTGCATGCTGCTCATGCTCTTCATCTTCATCTTCAGGTGAGGGCGGCGTGGCACCGTGCCGGCTAAGAGACTGGCCAGGCTGGGGGCAGGAGGGCCTGAGGGGTGGGGAGCACTGGGCTCTGACCCCTAGCTTGTGACCCCCTTGTGCCCACAGCATCCTGGGCATGCATCTCTTCGGCTGCAAGTTTGCCTCCGAGCGGGATGGGGACACCCTGCCAGACCGGAAGAATTTTGACTCCTTGCTCTGGGCCATCGTCACTGTCTTTCAGGTGCGAGGGTAACAGGGCAGGGCGTGGACAGGGACCGTCAGGTGCTGCTAGTATAGGCCCTGACTTCTGTCCTCTGCCCACAGATCCTCACCCAGGAGGACTGGAACAAAGTCCTGTACAATGGTATGGCCTCCACGTCATCCTGGGCAGCCCTTTACTTCATTGCCCTCATGACCTTCGGCAACTACGTGCTCTTCAATTTGCTGGTCGCTATTCTGGTGGAGGGCTTCCAGGCGGAGGTAACCCGCTGCCCTGCCCACCTCACCCTGCCCATAGCAGTCCCACTTCCAATGGGCTGCTTGTCATGAGCTCCTCCCTCAACTTTGGGGTCTTGGGAGGTCCCACAGGAAGCGCCTCTTAGACTAAGCCAGGGTGGACCAGGGATGGGAGGCTCCGGGTCTCATGCAGCCCCTTGTCACATGGGACACAGGACGGTTGTGTGGGGTTCCTGCGCCGAAGCTTAGCTGCCAAGTAGACATCCCTTTCGGAGTTGGCTAGACCCCTTCCCCAGAGAGGCAGACCAGATAAGTGTCTGCCTGTGGTACAGCTGGACTCCTGAGCACAGTGCTCTATGGAACACCTGGAGAGGACTCCTCTGAGCCGAGGGGTGCAGGAAGCTTGTGTGCAAGTCATCTGAGCTCTGACTGAGCAGATGAAGATGCCACTAAGACCAGGGCAGGGCTTAGCTGCCCAGGGTGAGAAATGAGCCCAATTAGCTACGGGCATGGCAGAGATGAGCGTCCTATTTCCAGCCCAGGCTCCATCACCTTCGTCACAGGCAGCGTCATCAATTAATATTGATTTACATTGATCCTGCCCTTGCCGTGTCAGCAAGCAGCCTCTGCCCAAAGGGCTGCACACCTTCCTCTCCCTCAGCTCTGCCTCTCTTCCCACCCAAGCCCCTAGACCCACCCCAGCTTGCTGGGGCCTCAAACAGGGCAGTTTGACCCAACCTAGAAATGCTGCAGGTTGGGTCTGGAGAAGCTCTTGGTCCAGTTCTCTCCGGGTGACCCGGATGGAAACTCCCGCTGCGGCCTGGTCTATAAATACCCAGCACACGGTGGAAAAACAAAAATCTATTTTCCGACTCTTTCCCAGTCTTGCAAGGGAGGGCTTTTCCCTGTAGGCCGGCTGGGTTGGTGGGGTGCAGCGTATCTGTCCCACACTGGCCTTTCTCCCTGCTACTGTTTTCAGTCTGTAGTTATCCGTTACCGCATTTCCTCCCCGCTATGGGGCAGCCAGGGCAGCTGGTGGGGGAGGCTTTGGTGATGGCTGTGCCTCTTGCAGGGAGGGAGGGATGCCAGTATGCTCCCTGGAATGGGATACTAATTTGGGGGTTCCCTGAGGCCTGAAGAATTAAGGGGCACCACAGTGCTCCCACAAGAGCCAGTAGACTCACTCTGCTGCTGCTCAGGGCCTATAAGAGGAGGAGCTGAGTGAGGACCGGGCTTCCTGGCCCCTTCCAAAGGCCGCTCCTGCCAGCCATGGTTCCCTCAGAAAAATTCCCGTGCAACTCTGTGGAGGGAAATGGAAAACACCGCGAGCCTATTCCCCTCCCCTCCTCTGCCACTCAGCCGCCAAGGCAGTCTGCAGGTGCCCAGCACAGATGGCCCCCTCCCCAGCACTCAGCCCTTTCAGCAAACACCTTGTTAACTTGAGTGCAGCCGAGGCCTGGTTGCTAGGCAACAGCAAAGCTGGAGTGTGGGAATGAGAGCAGCCTGGCCCTAGGGCAGCCTGGTCACTCTGGCCCTGCTGGGGGCCTGGGAGCTGCCCCAGTGTGAGGGCTCAACAAGGCCCGGCAGCCACACCCTCCCCAACATTTGCAGTGTCAGGACCTTTGCAAGGAGGGTCTCACTCAGGATGCGGCGTCTTGGGCTGTAATGCTTCAGGCCTGGGGTGGGATGCAGAAAGGATTTTAAGAACATCCCCTCTCCATGGGAGTGGGCAGTAACTGTGGCCCGGAGTGCCCATGGGAGGGGCTGGGCCAGTTGCTCCACTGTCCTTCACGTGGTGGGCAGGGGTGGGGAGTGTCCCTCGATGCCCATGGCCTGGACACCTCCAAGGCGCCCTCTCCTGGGTAAGGTTTCAGGGGGCCCCACGGTCTGGCAGGGGAGTCTGGTTTTGCTGTTGTGATGGCCTGGGATTTTTGTTTTTATTTTGACAAATAAGACAACCCACCTTGGCAGAGGAAGTGGCTGCCGCATTTTGGTGGGATTCCCCAGCAGGAGGCCTCAAGGGTAGCCCCCCTGCTGGCCTTGCTACCCTGCCAAGAGCTAAGAGGGGGTGGTCCAGGGACACAGTCTGCTTGGCTGGTGATTTCCTGACTTGCAGGGGGCAGCGCCCTGAATCCCTGTGTATTTATCATTCACACACTTAATTAAATGAACAGGCAGCAGGCCCTGTGTGAGGCCATTAATTGATACTAAACAACATCAGAGCCATCATCTCAGCATTACTTGTCACATCCCATCTCAAACGGAGCAGCTGGATCTATTCTGATCTGAAGGGACTTAAGCCGAGAGCATGAGATGTTATGAGGCCTGACTTGGCTCCGTGTTGACTCTGACTTTTGTCCATTCCTTTCCCTGCTTCCTTCCCATTCCCCAAGCCCACTGCCTCCGAGCCAGTGAGAGGAGAGGGGTGTTCTGAGCCACAGACTCGGGTTCCAGGCCCAGATCCACCTCTTACTCTGTATGATTTGGGGCAGTTTGCTCAACTTCTCCAAATCTCAAGTTTCTCCTGTGTAAGATGGCAATCCTGGAACCTATTTCCTACCTTGCAAGGAAGCCAGCTGGTGTTAAGGAGGTAGTTTCCCATGCGGGGCACACCCTTTATGAATGGTGGCTGTTATTATTAGGATTATGGGGGGACTTGATTCTTTCCTGCCCTTGTCCCCATCTTTTTGGCCTCTGCCCTCACCCTTCAGATTCATTCTAGCCTGAGGGCCTGTAGTTGAATTCTGGAAGGCTGTTCTATCCCCTCTCTGCCCCCTATTCCCCGTGTCTCTCATTTCCCCTGCTGTGGGGTTTGCACCCCTCCTTTTCTTCATACTTTCTCGACACTGCTGATATCTGAAGGCCCCGAGCGCCTGTGACCAGCGGCCCTCCCCTGCCTCCCCCTTTCCCTGTAGGAAATCAGCAAACGGGAAGATGCGAGTGGACAGTTAAGCTGTATTCAGCTGCCTGTCGACTCCCAGGGGGTAGGTACGCGATCATGAGCCGGCATGCCTCCTGTGCCCCGTGCCCCTCCACTCCACCTCCGTGTCTCTGTGCTCGTGTTCACGCTCCGCTGCTGTGCAACCTGTCATAGCCGTGATGGTCGTTGGTGTTGTGAGGTTTGCTTCGATTTTAAGTCCCTTCCCCCTTGAGGACATGGAAGGGAGGTACCTCCTTGCCTCTGTCCCCATCAACCTGCCAAGGGCACCATCTCCATCCCTGCCAGACCGGTGGATGGGCCGGAGAAGGAAGGGACTTAGAATCCTCTGTGTGCACGTGTGTGCGGCACCCCATGTGTGGGGCACCCCGTGTGTGCGTGCCTGTGCTGAGGTCCCGGAGGAGTACCAGACGTCCGGCTTCAGTGGAGTCAAGATCTGTGGCCATACTCCCCCATCTCCCACCCCTTCACCCCTTGCCCAGGCCCCTGTTGGAGACCCCGCAAGCTGCCTCAGCTCAGGACAAGTCCTTGGAGGATGTGGGGATGGGATGTGGCTCTTGCCAAAATGTACCAATATTTTAAATCACTCTGAGCCTTTGGCCACTTCATCACCCAGTTAGGTCCAGCTGGCGCTCTCAGGGCTGGCTCCCCCTCTGGCCCCATGATAAGCCTGTGCTCTGTTGTTCCCTGCCCTGGCACCAGAATTCGGGGCAAAGCCAGCATTCCTGTGGGACCCCATGGTGCTGCATATCCCGAGCAGGCCCCTGGAGATCCCACTTGATAATTAAAGGCCTCGTTAGGGCTGTAAACTGAGTTAATGAAAATGATCCCCTGAGATGCCAATTACCCAATATTTATGTCCTTATCAAAAGTAGCAATCAAGTATTTTTTAATAACTTCTTAAGGAGAAGTGTGTAATTACTGGGGAACCTACTGACCTGCTAAGAAGAAAGAAAAAACTGTCCCAGAGACAGGGAGAGAGGTAAAAATGGGGCCAGGGAGGGGGCTGGGACTTGGGGAAGATGAAGGGAAGACACTGAGGGACTGAAGTGGCGTCCTCGGGCTGAGCTGCTCTGTCTGGGGTCTTTCAATTTCCCTCCAGGGTCCTCGAGTCTGAGGCTCAGGGGAGGGGAGCTGTGGAGAGAAAGCAAAGGGCCTCGAGTGGACTTTTGCAAGAGAGGCACTAGTCAACACTTCACTCAGGTCCCCAGGACCCCAGCCCCCTCTGGCCTGTGCCACCCACCACCTAGCTCCCCCTTCTCTCCCCAGCCAGCCTTGGTGACTGTTCATCCAGGCTGGTTGTGCTGTGGGCTCACATAAGATGTGGCCTTTTCTGAGTTGTGGCTGGAGAGGCAGAGGTGGTGGGGCCCTGGGAAGCCTTGGGCCCTAAGCCTGGGGGGTCTGGCCTGCGCCGGTGCATGCCTTGTGCCGTGGTTGCTGGTTCCTGTGGCCTATATGTAGTGTGTGTGTGTGAAGAGAGGGAGGCCCGGTCCATCCCAACCTCCCCAGCCTGGCCCGATCCCTAATGGTCCGCTGCTCCCCTGCCTTAGGGAGATGCCAACAAGTCCGAATCAGAGCCCGATTTCTTCTCACCCAGCCTGGATGGTGATGGGGACAGGAAGAAGTGCTTGGCCTGTGAGTACCTATCCTGGGGTGCGGCTTTTGGCCCTGGGCCAGCCCTGAGTGGACTCGGGATCTCTCCCTCTGTCCCCCTGCAGTGGTGTCCCTGGGAGAGCATCCGGAGCTGCGGAAGAGCCTGCTGCCGCCTCTCATCATCCACACAGCCGCCACACCCATGTCGCTGCCCAAGAGCACCAGCACGGGCCTGGGCGAGGCGCTGGGCCCCGCGTCGCGCCGCACCAGCAGCAGCGGGTCGGCGGAGCCCGGGGCGGCCCACGAGATGAAGTCACCGGTAGGGGGTGCATGTGGGTACCCCGATGGTGGGAGATATTCTAAGGAGGACAGGAGGAAGAGAGGATGGAGGCAGGCGGGTCCAAGGGCATAGCCCCTACCCCATGGGCTGGACGAGGTCTGGGTGTGCCTAGACAAGCCCCTGGGGAGTCCGAGCCGGTGATGCAAGCCAGGGAAGGAGCCCTAGCCTGGGGGATGAAAGAACAGGGCCTAAGCTGACCCGTTCTGTTCCCTAGCTGAGTGACCTCGGGCAAGACACCACCTCTCTGAGCTGCTTCTGTAAAATGGGGGTGGGGTGTCCCTACCTCCTCAAGACCGAATAATAATAATAGCAGACCCTCATCTAGGTACTGATTATGTGCCAGACACTCTTCTAAACACTACTCCGAAGCATTCTAAATGCATTTAATCCTCACAGCAACCCTGGGAGGTAGGTACCACAACGATTCCCATTTTACAGAGGGGGCTTGAGCCTCAGATTGCAGAAGGGAATGGCAGAGCCAGCATTTTAATCCAGGAGGCTAGTGTTGGTGCCATGCTCTCGTGATTTTATTTATTTTTAAATTTTTAAATTTTGCTTTTAATTGACGAATACTAATCATGTATATTTATGGGGCACAATGTGACGTTTTGATATATGCATACATTATAGGATGATTACATCAAGCTAATTAGCATATGCATCACTTCACATACTTATGTTTTTGTGTGTGGTGTGAACATTTAAAAATCTACTCTCTTAGCAATTTTGAAATATACTTTACATTATTATTGACTATAACCATCATGCTGTGCAATAAATCTCGAAAATTGATTTCTCTGTCCAACTGAAACTTTGTATCCTTTGGCTAAGCCTTCCCCATTGGCCCCATCCTTACCCTTCCCAACCCCAGCCTCTGCTAATCACCATTCTACTTTCCACTTCTATGAGTTCAATTTTTTTGAATTTCACATATAAGTGAGATCATATGGTATTTATTTGTCTTTCTGTGCCTTGTGTATTTCACTTAGCATAATGTCCTCCAGTTCATCCATGTTGTCACAAATGACAGTCTTCTTTTTTAAGGCTGAATAGTATTCCACAGTGCATGTATGCCATATTTTCTTTCTTTTCTTTCCTTTCTGCTCTGTCACCCAGGCTGGAGTGCAGTGGTGCGATCTCAGCTCACTGCCTGCAACCTCTGCCTCCCAGGTTCAAGCGTTTCTCTTGCCTCAGCCTCCTGATTAGCTGGGATTATAGGCATGTGCCACCATGCCTGGCTAATTTTTTGTATTTTTAGTAGAGATGGGGTTTCACCATGTTGGCCAGGCTGGTCTCAAATACCTGGCCTCAAGTGATCTGCCTGGCTTGGCCTCCCAAAGTGCTGGGATTACAGGCATGAGCCACTGCGCCTGGCCCATATTTTCTTTATTCAGTCTTCCATTGATGGATACTTAGGTCGATTCCATATATTGGCTATTGTGAATAATGCTGAAATGAAGATGCGAGTGCCCATATCTCGTCCACATACTGATTTCAAATCCTTTGGATAAATACCCAGTGGTGGAATTGCTAGGTCATATGGCAACTCTATTTTTAGGTTTTTGAGGAACCTGCAAACTGTTTTCCATAATGGCTGTACTAATTTACATTTCCACCAACAGGACACGAAGGTTCCCTTTCCTCCACATCCTCAACAGCACTTGCTGTCTTTCATCACGTTCATAGTAGCCAATCCAACAGGTGTGAGATAACTCACTGTGGTTTTAATTTGCATTTCCCTGGTGATTAGTGAAGTTGAGCATTTCTTCATATACGTATTGGCCATCTGTGTCTCCTTTTTTTTTGAGATGGAGTTTTGCTCTGTCACCCAGGCTGGAGTGCAACAGTTCACTGCAACCTCTGCCTTCCAGGTTCAAGCGATTGTCCTGCCTCAGCCTCCCAAGTAGCTGGGATTGCAGGCATGCGCCACCACGCCCAGCTAATATTTTGTATTTTTAGTAGAGATGGGGTTTCATCACATTGGCCAGGCTGGTCTCGAACTCCTGGCCTCAGGTCATCTGCCCGCCTTGGCCTCCCAATGTGCTGGGATTACTAGTGTGAGCCACGGTGCCCGGCCCTGTATCTCCTTTTGAGGAATGTCTATTCAGGCCCTTTGCCCATTTTTTAGATTGGGTTAATTTTTTGCTGTTGAGTTACGTTTCTTCACCCCATTATATATACTGCCCATCAGCTGATTATAACACTTCTCTCATCAACTAAATGAGGAATGAGCTCTATTGCCATATCTATTTTACAGATGAGGAAACAGATGCACAGAGAGGCTTAATAACTTGCCCCAGGTCACTCAGTTGTTTGGGGTGAGCCAGGATCTGAACCCAGGCATCAGAGTCCAGAGCTCCTGCTCACACCCCTACACTTGATGTGATGCCAGTGAGGCTCCCAGGAGACCAGGTGCACATGAGAGGACAGGGCTGCTCGGCCCTGCCTGAGACCACTCCTCCCCTGCTCACCCACAGCCCAGTGCCCGCAGCTCCCCGCACAGCCCCTGGAGCGCTGCAAGCAGCTGGACCAGCAGGCGCTCCAGCCGGAACAGCCTCGGCCGTGCCCCCAGCCTGAAGCGGAGAAGCCCAAGTGGGGAGCGGCGGTCCCTGTTGTCGGGAGAAGGCCAGGAGAGCCAGGATGAGGAGGAGAGCTCGGAAGAGGAGCGGGCCAGCCCCGCGGGAAGCGACCGTCGCCACAGGGAGTCCCTGGAGCGGGAGGCCAAGAGTTCCTTTGACCTGCCAGACACACTGCAGGTGCCAGGACTGCACCGCACTGCCAGTGGCCGAGGCTCTGCTTCTGAGCACCAGGACTGCAATGGCAAGTCGGCTTCGGGGCGCCTGGCCCGGGCCCTGCGGCCCGACGACCCCCCACTGGATGGGGATGACGCGGATGACGAGGGCAACCTGGTGAGGCCCCTGTGGGCACAGTGACCCTTCGCCCCTGACCTTGAAAGAGGGGAGCTGTGCCTGGCCCGGCTGGGTACGAGGGAGTTACCATTCCAAGCCCAGGGGATATCAAGGGGGACCTGGAAACCGAGCTCCAAACAGTCCCTTTTCTTCCTCTGCCCGCCTTGCCAAACCCCAGTTCCTTGTCATGCCTATGCCTGGGGCTGCAGCTCTGCCACCCTTGGTGGATATGAATGATTTTGGGCAGATGTGTATGAATCTTTCATGGCCCTCCCCCTGTGACTCAGAAAGACCCATCAATCATCTCTCCAAACTGGTGCCCCCCCATCCCCCTTTCTCATCTCAACCTCATCACAAGCCTTGACTTCCCACTCCTTCCATACCCATGTGCCCCTCCCCCAAACCCCTCACCACCACCATTCCCCCTGGGGATGGGGTGTAGTGACCTCAGGGTTAGCACGTGAAGAGTAGGCCCAGTGTCTCCTCAGCTCAGGTGTGTCTCTGAAAAGACAGATGTGTGGGGCCAGTGTCTGATAACTGATGCTGCTTTCCAGCCCAGCAGGAAGGGCAGGCAGGGGCTGGGCTGGAGGCAGGCGTGGGGAGAGGGGAGAGCGGGGTTGGGGACGCAGGGGAGGAGAGGGAGGAGATGGAGAGGCAAGGAGTCCTCAGGGATGAGGAGGGGGCCTGGCAAGGTTGACAGGGAGATGAGGAGTGTGGCTTTAGGAATAAGAGAGGCAGGGCAGACCCTGGGCCCCAGGTGGGAGAGGGTAGACAAGGAGTGAGGGTCCTGACGCTGCTGAGGAGCCAGGAGCTGGGGAACCTGGAGGCCTGGTCCTGCTCATACTCCAGTGTTTGTTCTGCAGAGCAAAGGGGAACGGGTCCGCGCGTGGATCCGAGCCCGACTCCCTGCTTGCTGCCTCGAGCGAGACTCCTGGTCAGCCTACATCTTCCCTCCTCAGTCCAGGTAAGTGACAGGGCAGGGGTCTGACCTGTGTCCCGACCTCTTCTCACGGGAAATTACCCCTGGCGATGCTATCAGGGAGTTGAGAAGTGGCACCCTGCCTGGGGGTGTGAGCGGGGTGGCCTCAGCTGGGAAGGCTCTGGAAGGGTAGGGGCTGCGGGCGGTGCCTCTCGTTGCCACCTGCCCTGCCTCCTCTTCTCAGCTGTTGCCTCTGTGCCTGGGCAGGTTCCGCCTCCTGTGTCACCGGATCATCACCCACAAGATGTTCGACCACGTGGTCCTCGTCATCATCTTCCTTAACTGCATCACCATCGCCATGGAGCGCCCCAAAATTGACCCCCACAGCGCTGTGAGTCCCCAGTCCCGCTCACGGCAAGGCCTCTCCTGGGGTTTGCACTCAGGACCAGTGAGGGAGGCGAGGAGGCCACGGTTGCTGACCTGCAGGTCACACAGCAGGAAACGGGGGAGCCAGGACTCTCCCTTAGGTCTCTCACTAGATGCTGGTCCCCAGGACACCCCCTGTGTCCTCTCCTGCCTCAGTTTCCCTTCTATGATATACCAGCCCAGCTGGGTGCTTCGTCTCACTCCAGGCTATTTCTCATGCGCCAGAGGCTTGTAGGGCACACGCGTGAGTCGGGGAGTGCTGGGGTGTGCAGATGGGGAGGCATGTTGCCCAGTCTGCCTCGGGGCCTTGGGGGCATGCAGAGCGGTCATGGAAGCTGTTCTTTGCTCCTGGTGGTCCTTCCAGGTCAAAAACAAGTAGATTTTCAGGGGCCTTATTGGGGACATGGGTCACTTCTGCTTGGTTGCGAACCTGTCAGTCCTTCTCAGAAGGAGAGCCAGAGTCCCTGGACATACCGCCCCAGGGTCGAACCCCTTCAGGGTGGGCCCAGCTGGCCCTGGGAGCTGTCTCTTCCCAGCCTGGCATCATAGCCCTTCGCTGTCGGCAGCAATTCTAGTTCCAGAAGGATGGGTGGGGGGTGGCTGCTACACCACTTGCTTAGAGGTGGCCAGGATTTGCTTGTCATCCCTCCTTGCCATCTCCCACACCATTGTTTACATTTCAGTGCTGCTGGGGCTTCTGTTTTCTATTAAGTTGGGGTGGAGGGAGCTTGAGGAATGGCGGGAGCAGCCCAGGACTAGGCGGGTGAGAGAGCACCCGCATTGGGGACCTCACACCCGGAGTCACAGGGTAAGGCAGGGGCGCTGGCTGCACTCCAGCCTTGGCTGCCTCCCGCCTGAGGCCCTGCTGTAGAGCTCTCTGTCGCCATGTCACTGTCTCCACGACTCTCTCACCATCTTCCCACTCAGCTCCTCCATCTCCAGCTCTGTCACCGTACCTGCTCCTCTCCTTCCCTCGTCTCTGTGCTCACACTCTGCCCGCCACCTCTCTAGAGATCTGCGCCTGTCTCCCGGTCACCCAGGGAGGGACTCAGTCCACAGATGCCAGGGAACTAGATGGCCTTCCTTCCGGCCCTGCCCCAGCCTGGGTCTGGGAGTGCACAGTCTGTGTCAGGACCCCAGGTTCCACTGCTGCTCCATTTCTGGGGTGCACAGCAGGAAAGCAAGTGAAGAGGGTGGGATGGCAGGCAGGGGTCAGAGATCAAGTGAGATCCTGCCCCAGTTTGTAAAAGGAACCAGGGAATAGGGCTTAGGACGTGGGACGGGACGCAGATCACAGCACTGCGGTGCAGATCCTCTTCCCCTCCAGCTAAGTGGCTGTGGGGGCGGGGAACTCTGGTCACAGACAGGGGTGCAGCTGTCCGCAGAGCTGCAGGGGAGTCCAGGGACCTGGCACGGGCTCTGTGTGTGTATGAGAGGGGCGTGATCTGCATTGTTGTGGAGGGTGGGAGTCGTTTTCTGAGTGAAATGTTAGAAGCAGGTTTTGACTTGTGTATGCAGAGCAGACCTGGCCCAAGGGAGGGGGCTTCCCGGCGGGCAACCCCTGTCTTCCCTGTCTTGCAGGAACGCATCTTCCTGACCCTCTCCAATTACATCTTCACCGCAGTCTTTCTGGCTGAAATGACAGTGAAGGTGATGGGGGCTGGTGTTGGCTTGGGCCCTCTGGTTCCTGGTGGGAGTGGAGACGGCTTGGGCTGAGGGCAGGAGGGTTGGCCGCAATGCAGGGCAGGGCTGGGGCCGGCGGGGAGGGCGGCCGGTGACGCAGCGGCGGTCCCCAGGTGGTGGCGCTGGGCTGGTGCTTCGGGGAGCAGGCGTACCTGCGCAGCAGCTGGAACGTGCTGGACGGGCTGTTGGTGCTCATCTCCGTCATCGACATTCTGGTGTCCATGGTCTCTGACAGCGGCACCAAGATCCTGGGCATGCTGAGGGTGCTGCGGCTGCTGCGGACCCTGCGCCCGCTCAGGTGACCCCTTCCCCAGCACCGGAACACCTCCAACAGGTGGCCCCCTCCGAAGAGACACCTCCGACCACCAGTACCCCCTGCCACCAAACAAAAGCCCGCACAGGCCAGCCTTCTTTCTGTGACCCCCACAGGCGATCCTGCCCCAGACAGCACTCAGATTACGGCCCCAGTAATTTCCCTCCAGGCACACACCTGCTTTCCTCCTCTTCAACATGACATATTCCTCCGGGCCACCGCACCATGTGATGTAAGGTGACTGCAGCCCCGTGCAGCGCACAGCACAAGGGGCCACAAGGGGCCAAGGGGTTCACAGTCTTCAGCTGCAGCTCTCCCTTGTGTGGCCCCTGGGAGTGACACTCAGCCCCTCCCCGTGAGGTGACAGCTCCTCTTGCTGGCTTTTCCCATCTTCAGGCCCCTGCCAGGGACCACCCACAGGTGACATTTCTCCTGGCCAGGGATCTACCCTCTCAGGAATCCCTTTCCAATCAGCAGTCACCACCCCCAACTCAGATTTTTTTTGGACGGGGATGATATGGACTAATGGCAATGCTTCCCTGACTGTGATAGTCCATCTCCCTCTGCCCCTCCCCCTCTCTGCCTGCTTCCCTACAAGTTTATCTCCTGGTACCCCCAACCCACAATACACTGCATCCCTAGGGAACGCCTCACTTGAGTTGAATCCTCCCCACTCCCAGCCCAAACAGGTCATACATTTGACATCCTGGGATGGAGGTGGAGATGTGGGGCATGGGGATCCCTGCCACTTGTTTTGAGAGATTACAGTAGGGGTCCTGATGGCAGGGGTCCTGTGAAAAGAGGACTGTGTTCTGCCACCAGAGGCCAGGAAAGTACCAATGGCCAAGGTTAGGGGTGGGGAGCAGGGTCAAGGGACAAGGGAGTGTCTGGGCTGGGGAAAGCCCTGTCACCTCTCTCCCTCCCCTCCCCAGGGTGATCAGCCGGGCGCAGGGGCTGAAGCTGGTGGTGGAGACGCTGATGTCCTCACTGAAACCCATCGGCAACATTGTAGTCATCTGCTGTGCCTTCTTCATCATTTTCGGCATCTTGGGGGTGCAGGTGTGTGGGGTTCTGGGGGCCAGCTGTGGGTGAAAGCCTGAGGAGGGCCCCTCCCCTTGGCCCCTGGGTCTTATGGCTCAAGCTGCTGCTGCTGCTGCCTTCATTCCAGGAAGGAATAAGCAGGGATGCTCCCGTCCAGGCTCTAGGCCCTTTTACCTCCTGGGCATTTTGAAGAAAACTGGGAGCCTAGAGGAAGGCCCCAAGTAGGACCGGGGCTGCAGAAAGGCTTCAGGCCATGGGAGCTGCAGGCTGCTGTTCCTGCCCTCTGCACGCACTCCCTGAGCACAGAGGCTGGCCCGGGTCTACTCCGGGATCCCCTCCCTTCCTTCCCGGCTCGAGCACAGTGGGCTGCAGGCCAGGTCTAGGGATCCAGGGCCCAGACAGCTGGGCCAGGTTAGCAGCGTGCTGGCAGGCAGGCGGGTGCAGACCCCAGACGAGGCAGGAAGTGGGGGCTGCTGGGGAAACTTGGCCTTGGGCCCAGGGAGGAGACTTGGCTTTGGAAGAGAAAGAGCCAGAGCTGCCTGCAGGATTCAGCAGACGCCTCAGGGGACCGGGGAGCCCCTCCATCGCAGTCTTCCAGGGCCCTTGTCTCCAGCTGTTTCAGCTGCAGGGTAGACAGCTGGCTATTCAGGCATCGTGGGAGCCCCTGGGTGGCTACACCCTCCCCTCCCTGCCCCTCCTTCCCTTGGCTTTCTGGGATGTCCACTCTGCCCTGGGTGAGGGGCTGTTCCCTGGCTTCCTAGAAATCGCTAGCCCTAGGGACCAGGCTGGGGTGCATTTACCAAAGCTGTGTGGTGCCTCTCTGTACACCCTCCCCACTCCCACCCAGTGCTCTTCCCCTTCCCCACTTCCCAGCCTCCTTGGGTCAGTAGAGTGAACCATTGTTAAACCCAGTCCTTCCGGTGAATTTAGTCTGTTTCGAGCAGTTTGCTCAGGCCCCTGGTCCTGCCTTCCTTTCTTCATCAGTAGACATAGCCTGGTTTACACTAGAATGAGGGTGAGCTTTCCAATCAGACAGACCTGGATTCAAGCCCCCTTTCTGCTACCTGCTGGCTGTGGGACGTTAGTGAGTGGATTAACTTCTCTGTGCTTCAGTTGTTCTTATCTGTAAAGTGGGGTTGATAATACCCACTCCCCTACCCAGAGTTGCTGTGAGAATTAAATGCCTAGCTCAGCGGTTCTCAAACTTGTGTTTGCGTCAGAATCACTGGAACAGCTTGTTAAAAGATCGCTGCTCCCCCAACTCGGAGTGTATGATTCAGTAGATCTGGGCTGGGCCTGAGAATGTGTGTTTCTAGCATGTTCCCAGATGATGCTGGGGACCCCCACTTGGCACACGCCTGACCTAACCATTGGTGGAAGATGAATGACTATTACCCGCCTTCACCCTTTCCCACTGCCCGTCCTGATGACCTTTCCTCCCAACTCTTGGAAAGGAAGTGGGTGTCGGCAGGGGAGGCTCCTGTCAGTGTTTCCCTGTCTTGACTGACCCCAGAGCACAGCAGGCCACACTCACCCAAAACGTGCCCAGGCTGATGTGGGGGTGGGGCTCAGGAGTCCTGGGCTTCCTGTGGTCACAGCTCACTTTTCTCTGTCTCTGGGAATGTGTGTCCAGCTCTTCAAAGGGAAGTTTTTCGTGTGCCAGGGCGAGGATACCAGGAACATCACCAATAAATCGGACTGTGCCGAGGCCAGTTACCGGTGGGTCCGGCACAAGTACAACTTTGACAACCTTGGCCAGGTGAGCCCCAGGCTCAGAGGTGGGACTGTGGTGAAGGAGGCTGGAGGGGGCACAGGGCCATGCTTAATGATACCTGCTGACTCCGGTGGGCTCCACGAAGAGATCAATCAGCCTTTCACACCCTCTGCTGTCTAACCACCAGCATGTCACAAAGCCCAGTCCATCCCTCAGTGCCCCAAAAAGTGGGCCCATGGGGTCTCTAGCCCTCCTTAAAGATGAAGAAACAGAGGCTCAGAGGGGGTAAGGGGCTTGCCCAGGGCCAGAGCGCTACATGGTGGAGCGGGAAGCACACGTGGCAGTGGGGACATGCAGCCCTGGATGTGAATCCTGTGCAAATTCTGACCCCACCATTGTCAGCTCAATGACCTGGAGCAGCTGACTGACCAGGGCCTCAGTTTCATTAACTGGTGAATGGAGTCATAATAGAATCTCCTTGGAGGTCTCAGTAAGGATGCAATGAGATGATGTGTATATTTGTTTAACACAGTGGAAGGGATAGGCATATTGTCAAGATAACTCCTTTCCTCACTCCATATTTGCAGAAACAGAAATGTAGAAAACGAAGTTGCTCACTCAGTTTTGCTTCCCAGACCCACCCTGGTTTTGGTTTCTGGATTTCCAGGGTTTGTGGGTCGCTTGTCCTACCTGGCGGAGGGCAGAGGGTGTGACCATCTCTCAGGGCCCCTCCAACTGCAGCTCAGCTATGGAACCCTGAGATGGGGGCTCTCCTGGAGCCTGGAGTGTGACTCCAGCTTGACCCCTCAAGAACTAGGGTGTTTGGAGCTGATGCAGGAGGCACTTTGGGGGCAGGTGGTAGGTGATTCAGCCACACATCCTAGACTTCAAATATCTCCTTCTCTTCCTCCCCATCAGGCCCTGATGTCCCTGTTCGTTTTGGCCTCCAAGGACGGTTGGGTGGACATCATGTATGATGGGCTGGATGCTGTGGGCGTGGACCAGCAGGTAGGACTGAGGTGGACGGGACCCATCTGTGGGCTCAGGTCACTCAGCATGGGCTGATTTCAGGACAGAATGAGCAAGGCAGGGTGGCAAAATGCCATGAAAGAAGCATCACATTTTACAGCAGAGGCTGTTGCTGGTGGCCTGTGGGCCAAATCTGGGCATGTTTTATTGGTCTACAACATGTTTAACATTTTTTGAATTAGTGGTGAATATTTTTAAACTAGTGAATTTGGGCTGTGTGCAGTGGCTCACACCTGTAATGCCAGTGCATTGGGAGGCCTAGGCAAGAGAATCGCTTGAGGCCAGGGGTTGGAGACCAGCCTGGGCATCATAGCAAGACCCCCAGCTCTACAAAATCTAAAAACAATTAGCCGGGTGTGGTGGTATCATCTGGAGTCCCAGCTGAGGTGGGAGGGTCTCTTGAGCCCAGGAGTTCCAGGCTACAATAAGCTATGATCGCACCACTGCACTCCAGCTTAAGCAATAGAACAAGACCCTGTCTCTAAAAAAAGAAAAAAAAATGGTGAGTTTTACTCAGAGATTCAGATTTGTGTCTACTCAGGAAAAGTCTGAAGATCTGGGAATACTGGGCTTGCATTCCCTCAGGGCAGGAGTCAGCCGGAACAAAGAGGCAGTTTTGGGTGGAGAATCTACTCTCCCCTTTACCACAGTCCCTGCCCCTCCCTCCTGCTTCACATCAAACCCACACCATTCATTTCCATCGCCTGTCAGGTTGCTGTAGCTATTTGGGTTTGCAGGAACCCAGGCTGTGGGCAGCTCCGAAGACAGCTTGCCCTCGGGCTGATGGCTCCGCCTGTCCTTCCTGCTCCCCGCCAGCCCATCATGAACCACAACCCCTGGATGCTGCTGTACTTCATCTCGTTCCTGCTCATTGTGGCCTTCTTTGTCCTGAACATGTTTGTGGGTGTGGTGGTGGAGAACTTCCACAAGTGTCGGCAGCACCAGGAGGAAGAGGAGGCCCGGCGGCGGGAGGAGAAGCGTCTACGAAGACTGGAGAAAAAGAGAAGGAGTAAGGAGAAGCAGATGGCTGGTCGGTAGTCTTTCCACCTCTCTCTGGGTCGTGCTTGACCTTGGCCTTGCGACTGCAGGGGGCTAGGCGCTGGGGCCGGGGGCAGGGAGAAGAGACTCCCTCCTCCCTCCTCACCTCCTTCCCCGCAAGAGCATGTCTGCCTTTAGAGCCAGCATGAAGCAGGCCACTTCAGCCCCATGGGTAGGGGGAGCTGCCCCCACCCTGGGGGCTCCCGGGACCTCAGCATCATCCTCCCCAGATGATGCCAAATGGGGGTGGACACCCAGCCTCCCTGAGCTTGACTCTCAGAGGAGCCTCATTGGCTGCTCATCCAGAGGCCCAGGGTGGGCAGCAAGCATCTAACCCTGCACCCACCTAGTGTCTGCAGCTGCTGAGCAAGGCCTCAGCAGAACTCAGTAATGGACAACAGTGTGAAAGAGAACCCAGGCACCCCTCCCTCCCTATCTCTAACAAAACTTTCTACCATCATATATATATTTTTTTGCCAAAGTAAAAAAAAAAAGCAAAAACAAAAACAAAAAGAGAAAACTCCCCTTGGCTTGGGGAAGTTCTGGAATAACCTGGGGCCCTGCAGCCCCTCACCTCCTCACCTGTGCTCCCCAGCATCTCTTGGCATTGGGTGGGTGAAGCCCCCATCCATCGTCCTCATGCCCTTATGCCACGGGTGGGCCAAGACTAAGTGAGAAGACAGGCCAGGAAGGATGTGAGAGACGCGGCAGGCGCCCAGGCCGCTTTGTTTCTGGGCCATCCCCAGGTGTGTCTGCACCTGTCTGCCTCTCTCCCAGGCTCCAGGGCTCCCATCTGCCTGGTGCAGTGGAATCTCCGCGCCTCTCTCTCTCAGTCACAGCCCACGTCTCTCTAAGTGTCTTTGTGTGTGGGTTTCTCTAAGCCTTTGTGTGTCTGTCTGTGTGTCTCTTTCTGTTTGGGGTGAGGGTTTCCTATGCTCTCTTCACCTTTTCACAAACCGTCTTCCTTCCGCCGATAAGATGGGTGCGATGGCCTGAGTTTTCCTTTGGTGTGTTCACATGTGAGTACCACCAAATGAGTGAGGGATTGCCGTGCCCCTGCCTCCCCTCTGCCCTCAGCTTTATCTCCCGCGGCCTGGGAGAGGCACTCTGAGGAGGGCAGAGAGTGTGGGAGTTGCAGACGAGGGTGGGGGTGGGAGAGGGCCTGTGTTCCCTGTGAACAGCGGAAGCTGCCCCAGGACATGGGGGAGACGCTGGCCTCTGGGCAGCAATGGGAGGTGCCATTCTTCATGTCCCTCACCCTCACTATCAGCACCCCCAAGACCTTCTGCTCAGCTCCGGGTAGGGATCCGGGCTGGGCTTCCCTGTGGATGTCTGCAGCTGAGCAGGTGCACTGTCCCCAGTGGCCACGCTCCCACTCCTGCTCCATCCTCCTCACCCCTTCCTCACAGTCGGGCAGATGGAATTCTTTTGGCAGGTGGCACTTGTGGCCCCTGCTTGCCCAGCTGGCTCCCCTTCTGGGGTCTGTAGCAGTCTCAGGTGCAGCTGAGGCCACAGTGCAGGAGAAGTGGACATCTGTTCCTATGACTGGTTGCCTGCCCCTCCTGGTGCCTCCCTGCCCCTTGACCCTGACCAGCTAGCCACATTGCTTGTCTTCCTCAAGTGCCCTGTGCCCCCAGCTTTGGGCTGGACATTCAGAGCCAGCCAGCCATGCTCAATGCACCCCACCCATTGGCAGAGTGAGGTGGGAGCTGAGGGGAAGCCACCCCTGAGGGGCCCTGCCCAGCGCACCTGGTCCAGCCAGTGACCAATGTCGTGTTTCGTTCTTTTAGATCTAATGCTGGACGATGTAATTGCTTCCGGCAGCTCAGCCAGCGCTGCGTCAGGTACTGCGTCTGGGGTGTGGGCTTATGCGCGTGGGGACATGCTCTTCACTCCCTCCCCCATGGCTCATTGATTCTATCCTCTTGGGGTGAAGGGGTGAGGGTCCCTGGGGCCCCCAAGAGGGCAGGGGCTGAAGCACTGGGCTCCGCGGCATCCCGCAGGCCTGCGTCAAACTGGACGGGAGGCGAGGGCCTGAGGCCTCTCTGCCGACGCCCTTTGGAGAGCCTACCTTCCCAGCAAGGGCTTCCTCGGCCGGCCAAGCTCCCCACCTCCCGCTGCCTCTTCCCTCCTGTGCCTCCTCCTTGTAGCTCACCGGTCAATTATTAGAGCTGCAAATCTCTCCTGTCTCCTTTTGTCTAAGGGGAGACTTTGATCCAAGGGAGCAGGATGAGAGGAGCAGAGAGGGGAAGGATTTGTTTTAAAAATGTAACGATGAATAATTGAACAGACTCATTAATAGTCAAGTGATCACGGTGGCTGCGTCATCGCTACAAACAGCAGGAATTGGGAATCAACGGCCTGAGTTGGCCACGAGCTTCTCCCAAAAAAAGCCAAAGATTTGGGAGTGACTTGGGTCCTTATCTTTAAAAGCCATGTCTCTGGGAAGACTCTCCCGGTCCAGCCCACCCTCCATGGTCCCTCGGTCCCCTGCTCCCCTCTTCCCTACTGGCCCCCAGATGGAGGTGTGGAGGCTCATGGAGTCCATGGCAGAGCTGTGGGGCCTCCTAACACTATGTCTCCAGCTGGTGGCTCCCAAGCTGTTCATCCCCAAGGCCCCCAGTTATCATCTCCTGCAACAGACCCCACATTTTCAAAGGCTGTCTATGAAGTTACGAGCACTTCAATAATGACTTTCTTTCATCATTTTTACTAATCAGAGGCGCATCTAATTGCTAATCACAGCTTCTGAGCTGCAGAAGGTTACGCACTAAATGATGGCAAAGAAAGACCATTTCATGATTAAATTAGTCTGTGGGGCCTTAACACAGGCAAAGTATAGGATTTCTTTCAAGCTTTTTGAAGTATTGGAAAGAACATAAGGGCCGGGCACGGTGGCTCACACCTGTAATCCTAACACTCTGGGAGGCTGAGGCGGGTGGATCATGAGGTCAGGAGTTTGAGACCAGCCTGGCCAACATGGTGAAACCCTGTCTCTACTAAAAATACAAAAATTAGCAGGGCATGGTGGCTCATGTCTATAATCCCAGCTACTCAGGAGGCTGAGGCAGGAGAATCGCTTCAACCCAGGAGGCCGAGGTTGCAGTGAGCCCAGATCGCGCCACTGCATTCCAGCCTGGGTGACAGAGTGAGACTCCATTTCAAAAAAAGAGAGAGAGAGAGAGAGAACATAAGGACCCCCATGCTGGGAACCACCGGCTGTACCTTTCTCCACTTTCCCCACTCCCCCGGAAGCCAGAATCTGGCAGATGCTGCCCTGGGGATGTTGGGCGTCATGATCTGTGGGGCCTCAGGGACCCACCCAAGAGAGAACCCCTGAGCCTCCATTCAGTACATCATCCCTGAGGCCATCTGCGCTATGGCCCCATGAGGCTAAGCAGTGGCGTTTGGCATTGAGAGACTGTCTCTCTGGGGCTCAGGAGTCTCTAGCTGGTTTGTGTCTGGATTGCCAGGGTCCCCACATCTCTGCATCAGGCTGTCTTGCAAATTCGTGACTTGTTAGGGGATGAGGGGAAGGAGGGAAGAAGTGGCCTTCAGCTTTTCCCTTATGGGCTCACCTGGCCTGTAGACTGAAGGTTGCACACTTTCACACTCACCCCAAAACATCCTAACACAGGGCTGGCCCACAGAGACTTTTCCACCTGGGATGTTATCCCAGAAATCAACACATGCAGACTCTCACGGCCCCTAAGATGTGACTCGCCCACTCAGTGCTAAACACTCTCAAAGTGACCCTTGCACTGCACTCCCATTCCGGGTACCTTCTGCTGTGCTCCTGGAGTGGAGAGACCCCACTGTATCCTGGGGTGGCACTCACAGGCGTGTATACCAGTTACCTTCCCTGGCTGTTGATGAAGACTCAGAGACCCCCAATAAGGGCTCAGATCATCCCATATCCCACTTCCCAGGACCTGGAGTTCTGCGTGGCCTGTGCCAGAGCTTTTTAAGCTTCCATGTGCATAAGAATCGCCTGGAAAAATAAACACAGATTCCTGGGCCTTACCCTAGAGGTTCTCCTACAGCGGTGCGGATGCACTGGTCTACCCACCAGGGGGATGGGGACAGAGTTAAACGCAGTCCAGGGCTGCTGGGAATCAAACACGTGCACCACACCTCCCTGCTAGCACTCCTGTCCTGGTGCTGCTCCCAGCAGGACGGGGAGAGCCGGACCCTAGGGAAAGGCAGAAGAGCAGAGCCTGTGATTAGCAGGGGAATGGGCCTGACCAGACGCCTGGGTCCACCCCGGCTTCCCAGATGGAGGGAGGGACTGGGGCTGCGGGTCATTAGGCTGCCCCATGGGACCGCTAAGCCTCCAACACCAGTTCCACTCTCCTTGGCCACCTGCGGCATCGACCTCCACTCACTCACCCTCTTTCCTTCCACCAGGCCGGGACCCAGTGATCAGGCCTGGCCACGGCAGCTGAAGGTGTGGCCTCTGCCGTGGGGGGCCTGTGTCCTTGGGAGTGACCCCTGTCTTCTGCCTACTCATAGCCACTCCCCTTTGCAAACGCTCCACCCTGGCCGTGCCTTGGGCTCCCCGTGACTCTTACTAACTCACTGTGCCTGTTGCCTTGCAGCCCTCCTTCTGCACCCCTCCTTTCTCCCTGCCCCTAACTGGGGGCCTGGGCCGCCCTAGATGTGCCCTTCCCCCGACTGTCTGACTCTGGTATTTTCTCCACCTAAGGCAGCTCATCCTGGTGGAAGGCAGGGAGGTGGTGCCACAGCTACCAATGCCTCAGTGACCACGGGTCCAGGCTCCTCCTGGGCTATGGTTGGAGCTCTCAAAGCAGCAGGCTTGCCCAAGGCTCCTCCTAGGGGGTTTCTATTCCTTTTCCACACCCAGGTGCTTGCCTGCAGAGCCAAGGTCCAGAGAGCAGCAAAGGGGGGTGGCATCGCCAGGCCCTAACTGTGGAGGCTAGGGGCATCGTCTGGGCCAAAGCCTCAAAGCCCTGTGTCTGCACCCACCTGGCAACTGGCGAGGGCCTCGGGCTGGAAGTTCAGGTCCAGCTCAGTCATGCCTAGTAGCTAGCTGAATGACTCACTTTTTGCCTGGCTTCGTTCTCTCCCTCTGAAAAACAAAGGGGTTGCCCGAGGAGATGCTGATCAGATTGGCCTGGTACTCTTTGGACCTGCGCTCTAATGGGGGATTTCTGGCAGCCTCAGCAACTGCCGTCTGGGGTAGGGGCCAGGGTGGAGGGGCCTTTGTACAGACCTCAGGGGCTGGGATCTGTCTCTAAGCAGATGCTCTGCCTCAGTCCTCCTGTCCCCCTTCCTTCTGGACCTCTTGGAGGAGGGTCCCGGCTGAATTGAAGCCCACCCACCCCACAGACTCCTAGGGCAAGGCCAGAAGGTAGAGCTTGGTGGGAATAGCCGCTCCGTTTGGCCTGGAACTGCCTACAGAGTCAGGCTGGGGTGACGGGGAGAGGGGGCAACTCTCCCAGCCTCTCCTCTACATTGTCTCAGCTAATGATGGGGCTAATAAGGAGCCGTTTTTTCTAACCTAATTGTATTCAAACATTTTAGTTAATTCTCCATTCATATTTTAGCATAATGGGATCGGGTGCTCTCGGCATTTATGGAGATTAATGCAGAGAAAGCGTTCCGGCTGCTCAGGCAACGCAGGGCGACTAGCGCCCTCTGGTTCTTGTGGTACTGAAGGAAGGAAGGAAGAGGCCCGGCCCACCCAGCCCACCCTCTACCATCGAGTTGTGGATGACCCATAGCCTCCTGTCCTCCCTTGCCCCAGGCTCTCCAGCCCCACACTTGTGGGGCTGTGTTCTTGAACAAACAGAGCCACAGTTGGCTGGCCAGTCTCTGAAAACAGGAAGATGGCCTCATGCATGTCTAAGGCGCAGCAGAGTGCCGGGGACTGTCTGCTCCGTGGTCATCCACACTTCAAGGCCGATGCTGGAGAGTGGCCGGGTGGGCCTGGAGCATGGCAGCCCACGAGGCTGGATGTGCAATACCTGGGTGCTCTTCTTCCTTCAGCCTCGGGTGGGGGCCCACCCCAGGCCGCTCCTTGCCTCAGTTTACCTCTCTGTTCAATGGTCCTATGCATGGGAAAGGACAGTTAATCTGAGCTGGCCTGGGCCCAAAGCTTCCTGCTGCCCCTGAGCCAGCTACCCCCTGGCTCAGGCCTCAGAGGCTGCAGCCCTCGCTGGCTGGCTTCCTCCTAGACCTCCTGAGACGGGGAAGGGCTGTCTGGGACCTGAGGCTGCCACACACCTCCCCATGAGGAGCCTCTTCCTTCTTTATGGCTTCGTGAGAGACCAATCTGTCCCAACCTCCTCCCGAGAACATGGGCCCCAACTTGGCCTGGTTCTTCGTCAGCACCTGGAAGAGGGCCCCCTGAAATCTCCTGCCCCCAGATTTATTCTGCCTCCTTGGCAGTCCAACCTTCTGGCTCCATGATTTTCATAACTAAGTGGTTCACTAATTACAAGAGAAATATTGTGCCTCTGACAGATCTCAGACAGTGCTTCCAGCCCGGCCTGCAGTCTAAGGCTGCCCAAACACCCAGGAGCAGGCTGGGCAGTGCCTCATTAGAAACTGGGTGAGTCCAACAGGTGGGGCCCTCCCAGCTTGAGTCTGGGATGGAGCAGAGCCCCAACGCCTCCCCTCTGCCCTCGCTGACATGAGGGTGCAAAAGACCCAGGCCCTGCCCTCTGGAGGCCCGCTGGGTGGGTCAGTGCAGCCAGCCAAGAAGATGTCCAATTTCCAATCTCTGGTTTTATCTCCAAATCCCAGCTCTGTGTAATCTCCTCTGCTTCCCCGAGGGGCTGAGCTTGGTGAAGGAGTAAAAGCCTTTGCCTCCCTGTTGATGGAGCATGCTCTGAGCCTGACCAGTTGTTTTTCATCGTATCGATCTGGCCTTGCTGCGGAACACTGAGTCGAGGGTGTTATGAGGGGCTGGTGGATTTTGGAGGCTGCCTAGGGGAGGGGGCTCACCTGGCGTCTAATGTAGGTGGGGGGCTCTGCATGTCCTGATCCATCCTGCCCTCAACTGCAGCCAGTACAACAGATGCTTGGAGGGGGACACGCCCAGACGGCTGCCCCCACCAAGGGGCAGCGTGGGGAGGGCGAGGATGGTGATGACTGGAATGTTTCAGCTCTGGCGTTAGAGGCTGGTGGCTGTGAGGGACTGGGGGTGGAGGGGTGCAGGGCGCAGGAGCCTGATGCTTGCTCTGCTCTTCCACCCGCCCCATCAGAAGCCCAGTGCAAACCTTACTACTCCGACTACTCCCGCTTCCGGCTCCTCGTCCACCACTTGTGCACCAGCCACTACCTGGATCTCTTCATCACAGGTGTCATCGGGTTGAACGTGGTCACCATGGCCATGGAGCACTACCAGCAGCCCCAGGTAGGAGCGAGTGGACCAGCCATCTGCCCCCCCCACCTCCAGCTGTGGAACCTCTGGGCAGGGTTAACACAGCCTGAGCCAGGGTACCTCTGTGCCAGGCAAGTGCTGGGCACGTTACATGGGTTCCTCTTGTGCCCCTTGGAGGTGGCTATCATCTTTGTTTTATAGATGAGGACATTGAGGCTCAGAGATGTTAGTTGATGTGGCCAAGGTCACACAGAAAGGGAGTGGAGGACCTGGTTTCTTCACCCAGCAAATGTTGAGTGTCTACTATGAGCTGCGCTCTGGATCTTTGAGGGTAAAGAAGGCAGATGGATGCCTGCCCTTCTGGAGTTGAGATTCTAGTGAATGTCCAGCTCCACAGCTCACCTGTGACCTTGCCACTTCTCCAGTCAGCCTCCCTTGGCTGTCTTCCAGCCCTCGGTTTCCCCATCTGTCCAATGAGAGGGTTGAATTTGTAATGCACAAGGCCCCTTCCAGTCCTGGCACACTGTGTCATCTAGCACATTCTCATGTGATCTCCTCACCATTTCCCAAGGAGAAAGATCCTTTAGCATAAGGTTGATTCATTCATGTGAACAAGTACCCTAGTCCCTTCTGGGGTGGTGGCTAATGGCCAGCCATCATGGCGGGAACAGAGAAGACAGGTCTCCTTAGAGTCCCTCTGCCTCTCAGACTTGGGCAGGATGATGGAGGGGCTGGGGCCTGGGCCTTAAGGGACCCTGCATCTTGCCCCCATCCCTGCCAGATTCTGGATGAAGCTCTGAAGATCTGCAACTACATCTTCACTGTCATCTTTGTTTTGGAGTCAGTTTTCAAACTTGTGGCCTTTGGTTTCCGTCGGTTCTTCCAGGACAGGTAATGGAGAAGGGCGGGGGGGGTCTCGGGGACTTGCATAGAGATAGAAAGGGATGAGTCTCTTGGGGAAATATCCAGGAAGACCTAGTGTCTAAAGACCTTTCTTAATTCCTGAGGTTCAGCCCCCACCCTGTGGCTGATATAGGGGACTAGGGACCATCCAGGACCAGGAGATGGGAAGGCATGGAAAGAATTTGACAAGACAGGGCCTGGGGGATGCTGGCAGCTAGAAATCAGTGTGACCTAGCCTGGGACTTAAGAGCACAGAGCCTGGAGCCAGACTGCCTGAACCGGATTTGAATCCTGGTCTCACCGCTTAGTAGCTGGTGGCCTTGGGTAAGTTACTTAACCTCTCTGTGCCTCAGTTTCCTCATTTGTAAAATGAGAGAAAATAATAGTGTCCACATCATAGAGCTGTGAGATTATGAATTCCTATTTGGTTTTGAGGTTGGTGTCTGTTTGTTTGTTTGTTTTTGGAGACAGAGTCTTGCTCTGACGCCCAGGCTGGAGTGTAGCAATTCAGTCATGGCTCACAGCAGCCTTGACCTCCTGAGCTCAAGCTGTCCTTTCACCTCGGTCTCCCAAGTAGCTGGGACTACAGGCACCCACTGCCACACTCAGCTGATTATTTTTTATTTTTATTTTTAGTCGAGACAGGGTCTCAGCATGTTGCCCAGGCTGTTCTCGAACTCCTGAGCTCAAGTGATTGTCCCACCTCAGCCTCCCAAAGTGCTGGGACTGCAGGTGTGAGTTCCTATTTGTAAAGCCCTTAAAAGTGCCTGGCGCATAGTAAACACCATGTAAGTGCTAAATTTAAAAAAAATGAATACAAATGAAAAGCAGAGGCTTTTGAGCTAAAGTCCTAGTCCTACTCATGCCACCAATTGTCTGTGTGGCCTTAGATAAGCCACGCCTCTTCTCTGTGGGAAGGGAGGCTGGACCCGCTGATGTCTGCCTTTCTTTCCAGCCCTGTGTTTCCGTGCCACAACTGCCCCCTCCTCCAGGAACCCCTCCCCCCACTCAGGGAGCTGTGTTCTGGGCTTTCCAGGTGGAACCAGCTGGACCTGGCCATTGTGCTGCTGTCCATCATGGGCATCACACTGGAGGAAATCGAGGTCAACGCCTCACTGCCCATCAACCCCACCATCATCCGCATCATGAGGGTACTGCGCATTGCCCGAGGTTGGTGCCCAGCCCACGCACCTACCCTCCCAGGGTGACCAGCCTAGGGAGACAGAGCAAGGGTCGGCTTTGTGGCTCGCCAAGGCCTGGGTGGCTGTGGGTTCCCAGGGGTCTTTCTCCCAGCCTCTGCCAAGGGAGGCTGGGGACAGGGCTGAGGGTGGGGATGCAACCTAGCTGGCCCGGGGACGGCCATCCCAGCAGCCCCAGCCCAACCCTGGCCCTGACTCTGCCAGCTGTCTGGCCAGGGACCCAAAGGGGCCAGCTCATGACGTTGTCCTGTTCTGCAGTGCTGAAGCTGCTGAAGATGGCTGTGGGCATGCGGGCGCTGCTGGACACGGTGATGCAGGCCCTGCCCCAGGTAGCCGGAAAGTGGGGGGCCTCTGGGGAGGGGGAGGTGCTTTCCAGAGGGCAGGGGCTCAGAGAAGCTGACTGGGAGACCCAGCGGCATCGTTTCTATTTCTTCTTCTCTTTTCCAGGTGGGGAACCTGGGACTTCTCTTCATGTTGTTGTTTTTCATCTTTGCAGCTCTGGGCGTGGAGCTCTTTGGAGACCTGGGTGAGTTGGAGTAGGGGAGGATGGAGGAGCCAGGACTGGAGACCAGGGGGCTCCTGGACTAACATGGGCCTCTCCCCCTTTCCCTCCTCCCCCAGAGTGTGACGAGACACACCCCTGTGAGGGCCTGGGCCGGCATGCCACCTTTCGAAACTTTGGCATGGCCTTCCTAACCCTCTTCCGAGTCTCCACAGGTGACAACTGGAATGGCATTATGAAGGTAAGGGCCCAGGGTTGGCCCAGGCTCCAGGGAGGCAGCCCCACTTCCTGAGCTAGGATTCCTTGGGAAGATGAATTGGCCACAAATAAAAGCATGTGACCTTCTCTCCCCTGTGCTAGAACACTCTGGAACTCCCTCTCCCAGGAACATGCTCTGACTCACACTTCCCCAGGCAGCATCTAACGCTCCTCTGCCCCCCAAACACTCCCTCCTTCCCTTCCTTCCCCTCCTCCAATGCTCTGTGACACCAGTGACCTGATTTTCCACAACAGCTCCAACCACTGTCCTCCCCAGCCTCACCCCTCTATTCCTCCCACCTCAGGACACCCTCCGGGACTGTGACCAGGAGTCCACCTGCTACAACACGGTCATCTCGCCCATCTACTTTGTGTCCTTCGTGCTGACGGCCCAGTTCGTGCTGGTCAACGTGGTGATCGCTGTGCTGATGAAGCACCTGGAGGAGAGCAACAAGGAGGCCAAGGAGGAGGCTGAGCTGGAGGCTGAGCTGGAGCTGGAGATGAAGACCCTCAGCCCCCAGCCCCACTCGCCGCTGGGCAGCCCCTTCCTCTGGCCTGGGGTCGAGGGCCCCGACAGCCCCGACAGCCCCAAGCCTGGGGCCCTGCACCCAGCGGCCCATGCGAGATCAGCCTCCCACTTTTCCCTGGAGCACCCCACGGTGAGCAGACACCCACCCTGGCCATGAGAGGAGCTGGGGCAGAAGGGTATGGAGGGTGGCGGGTGGGAGCCAAGCAGGCAGCACACAAACCCTAGGGCTCCTCCTGGAGCCTCCTGCCCTCCCTCCTGGATACTGAGCGAGCAGTCACCGCCCCTCCCCAGGGATGGCTGCCCACACTCACCCCACAGGGCTACCCGGGCAGACAGGCCAGCTTAGCCATGCCCTGCTCCTCCAGCCTGGTCTGGCCTTCCCTTCCTGACTCATAGGTTCAAGGCTAAGTTTTCTGTTTCCTTCCTGTTTCTTTCTTACCCTTGCCCAACTGCCAAATCTCTTTCCTACCCACCCTTTAACCTGCCTGATTCTCTTCCATCTCTCCATCCTTTTATCTTCTCTTTACCTCTCTCTCTCTCCCCCCACCAACGTGGGCTCTACTCATCTTCTATCTCCCATCTTTCCTTCCTCCTCCCACCTTCCCTCTTCCCCACCCCCTCCTCTGTCTCTTTGTTGCTGTGTGTGTGCGCGCGCATGTGCATGTGTGTTGTCTGGGTTTCACCTCTTTCTCCCTCTGTGTCTCTCGTCAATCTTCTTCCACGACACTTCCCATCACTGCCCTCTGACCCTTGCTCCCCTGCTTCTCCGGCTCCCCTTACGGGCTGGCTCCCCAGGACAGGCAGCTGTTTGACACCATATCCCTGCTGATCCAGGGCTCCCTGGAGTGGGAGCTGAAGCTGATGGACGAGCTGGCAGGCCCAGGTGGCCAGCCCTCTGCCTTCCCTTCTGCCCCCAGCCTGGGCGGCTCCGACCCACAGGTTACTGTGCCCCTGTGCTGTGCCCGCTCCCCTGACCGCGCCGGGCTGTGTCACGCTGTGCCATGCTTCTGGGGAAGCTGAGGGTGTTCCCTGCCCACTGGGTATCTGTAGAAAGTGCAGCCTCAGGGCCTCAGTTGAGTGCAAGAGACAGTCGGGGCTTCTTCTAGGCTGAGATCACCTCCAGAAAAGAGCTGGAAGGCAGGGCTACTGAGATTGCCCCTCTGATGAGAAGGGTGTGTGGAGGAGGAGCTTGGGGGAGGGGAGAGGGGATTTGTAAGAATCTGGAAGAGAAAAGGGGGGATATGGCAGAAGATAAGTTAGCAGTGGGACCTTAGGGGGTGGAGGGAAGGAGGTAGATCCAGGGAGGAGGGCTTCCGGAGACAGTGTAGGTGGCCAGGGAGCCTGCTGCCAAGCTGCAGTCTGTCTATCCGCTTGTGTCCAGCACACACTTGCCAGTCCTCGGTTTGGTGGCTTTTTGAGCCGTGGAGCCCACTGGGCGTGGTGAGTGCTGTCAGGAGCCACTGATTTCTGTCCTGGGAGAGATAGAAGGCTCCAGCTGGGAGTGGATTTTGAGAACTTGGTGTGAAATAGGACTTGCTTTCCTGCCCAAGTCCAGCCCCTTCCCACAGCACCATGGGGCCCTCTCCCCCAGTCTCATCTAATTCCAGGTCTTCTGCTTTCTGGGCTGCTCCTGCCCTCCTCTCCTCCCCTTGATCCCCCACCACCACTCACTACCACGTGACAGAGGGCCCCACCCTCCCTCCACCTAGGTGAGAAGCTGCAGACCTGGAGTGGAGACAGGTGTCAGTTGGAGATAGAAAAGCCGAGTCCTCCAGAGGCCCTTTTGGGTGGCGGGCAGGCAGGTTCTTACGAGGCCTTTAGCCTGATCCAAAAAAAATGGACAGTGATCCTCACGTGGGAAGGGATCTTGCTTCTTGTTGGGATCTGGCAATGACCTAGAATGATCGTGGGAAAGTGAGTCCCTTTCCGAGGCCTCCCCTTCCTGAAAGAGGCTCACAGGGAAAGGTTGTGGGAGAAGAGGACATGATGGGAAGGTGATGGGGCTCCGGGAGGGATGGCCCAACTGTCCCCTAGCATCCTGTGGGCACTGGGGCACCCCCTGGGTCCCAGGTGAGCCAACCAGATGGTGTGGCAGCCCACTGGAGTGTGCCCACTTCAGGCCAATGGGATGAGAGCACCTCCCAGAGCCCAAGTTGGAGAGGGCGGGCAGGCTGCAGGCAGGCGGAGGAGGGCCCACGAGGGGAGAAGCCAGAATCTGGGGGCAGGCCAAGTCCTGCCAGGCTGTTGGAAGCCGAGAGAATAGGCAGAAAACAGCCGTCAGATTGGCGGCATTGTCCCCGGCGCCCCCCATGCCGCTCTGTCTGTGCCGATAGGAGAGACAGTGCTTTGCTGGCCTTTCTTCATTTTTTTTTTGGTATTATCTTTTTGAGAGTCGAAAGCCCTCGGTCCTCCCGCTCCCTCCCTGGGTGGTGGTGGTGTGGGAGGGGCTGGGAAGGCTCCTGGGGTATCTTTAGAATGCGTTTCTGTATCTCCTCGCTTTGTCAGTGTTTGCTCTGGCTCTTCAGTGCCTGCCGCAGCCTCTCTGATCAGAGCAGGGGGTTGAAGTGGGTGCGGGGAGGCATTGTCAGCTTGTTTGGGGAGAGGGTGGGGAGAGAGAAGGGATGCCTTCCCCCCACCCCGCCCCATGCTTCGTGAAAAGGGGGAAGTGGGGACTGAGAGAGAGCGCGTGTGTGTGCACGCGCGTGTGCGCTGTCCTGGTTTCTCATGCCTGATCATCTCTCTCCCTGTCTAGATCCCTCTAGCTGAGATGGAGGCTCTGTCTCTGACGTCAGAGATTGTGTCTGAACCGTCCTGCTCTCTAGCTCTGACGGATGACTCTTTGCCTGATGACATGCACACACTCTTACTTAATGCCCCGGAGAGCAATGTACATACACACTGCCCTCACTGCTCCCGGCCACCCCCGGGGCTGGGCTGGCTGCAGGGCTCCAGATCGGCCCAGGGAGGGTCCTGGCTGCCTCCTCTCAGTTTGCTGCCAGGTTCCACCCAGAGGCATCAACTGTCAGGCCCTCAGTGGGGCACCTGAAGAGGGGACAAAGAGATTAGAGAAGATTAAATTGGGGCCTTGCCCTGAAGGCTATAGGGGCAGCCATTATGAAAAAGTGAATCCAGGAGTGACACGGCCCAGAACAGGTGTCATCAGAGTCAGTCGATGCATTTGGAGCCCTGTGCAAGCCAGCCCTCCCTGTCCCTGCCCGCCTCCTCCCCACCCCACCCCCACAATATGAGACCTTCACACCACGTGGTGGGTGAGAGCCGCATCTCTGCTACCACTGCCATGCCCTTCTTCACCTGGGGCGCTGTTCCTGTCTCCTCCGTCACTGTCCCTGTGTGTCCCTGTGTCTTCACCAAACTCACTGGGGTGGGAGGGGCTTCTCTGTGCTCTGACAACCTCCCTACCCTTTCCCTTCTCCAGCTCCAGTCCTTTCTGACTGCGAGCAGCCCTCTCCTCCCGACCCACCGACCGTTCCCCTCCTGTTGTCGGAGGAGGGCCCAGCTGAGGGACTGGACCAGCTGGGGTGTCCCTAGGGGTCTTGGGTGGCTGGCAGAGTGGAGCCTGGGGCTGAGAGGGGAAGCAAAATAAGATTGTCCTCCAACTTAGCCATCCTCAGACCTGCTGGGGCTATTTAACTGGCTGGGCCTGCATGGGGACAGGACTCCTACAGCCTCCCTGAGAACAAGGGGTGAAAGTGTTCAGGGGCAAGGGGACCACAGGGTGATGGAGAAACCTCCTGAGAACAAACCTAGGGTCCCTCATGCTGGAGTCCAAGGCTGAGTACCTCCCTTCTCTGAAACAGAGCAACAACCCCACTCCCATCCCGAGTCTGTCCACTAAGGGAGCAGCTGAATGTGGCCTCCACCCCCACCTGCCAGAGTCATTGGTTAAAGTGGAGGTCCGGGAGCCAGCTGTGATACGCCTCTGGTGGTCATCTGCCATTCAACCCACCTGAACCCAACCCAGGCCCTATGCTGGGACCTGGGGCTGCTGTAAGAATTGGATGAACAGCCTGCAACCTGCAAGCTCTCCTGAGCTGCCTGGTCCCTGCTCCTTGGGAGGGTCCCCTCCCCATCACCTCCGCTGACAGCGCAGGGTTGTGGGGGCTGCTGTTGGCTTTTTTTTCTTTTTTTTGAGACAGGGTCTCACTCTGTTGCCTAGGCTGGAGTGCAGAGATAAGATCCCAGCTCACTGCAGCTTTGACCTCCCGGGCTCAAGCAATCCTCCCACCTCAGCCTCCAGAGTAGCTGGGATTACGGGTGCCGCGTCACCATATCCAGCTAATTTTTTTTTTTTTTTGGAAATGGGGTTTTGCCATGTTGCCCAGGCTGGTCTCAAACTCCTGAGCTCAAGTGATCTGCCCATCTTGACCTCCCAAAGTGCTGGGATTACAGGCATGAGCCACCAGCCACTGTGCCTGGCCTGCTGTTAGCTTTTAATCCTCCCCTGAGCTGCTCTGGGTCAGGGCTCCAGCCCGTCCCTGTGGACACCGGAACTCCCTTCAGAGCCTCGAAATGGAGCCTTTAGAATGAGCTCGTGAGCCACCTGCAGGGCTAGGGGCTGGGGGCTGCCCTCCCTTCTCTGGATACCTCCTCACCCCTCCACCACCACAGTGGGAGCTTAAAGGTGATGCAATGTGTACAGTTTTGCAGGGGGTGGGATGCAGGGCCTGCAGACTCTCCCGGCTGCCCAGACCCCCTCTTACCTGCTTCCTCCCCGCGTGTGGAGGCCTCATCCATGTGTCTGCCCCTCTCCCCAGCCACGCTCATGCCCATCTCTACCTTGTCCTGGGAGGGTACGGGGGTGAGGGCTGGGCAGGGGGGCACGGCTGCTTTCTATTGTCAGCTCTGCCTCAGTTACCAAAGCCAGACATACCCTCTTCCTCCACCTCCCTCCCCTGTTCCTTTTGCAGGTACAGCCCCACCCCACGGAGCTGCCAGGACCAGACTTACTGACCGTGCGGAAGTCTGGGGTCAGCCGAACGCACTCTCTGCCCAATGACAGCTACATGTGTCGGCACGGGAGCATTGCCGAGGGGCCCCTGGGACACAGGGGCTGGGGGCTCCCCAAAGCTCAGTCAGGTACCAGGGCTGGAGAAAGTCAATTTGGCTCACACGGGAGATTCCATCCTGGCCTAAGCCAGTACTGATCTGAGGGGATGGGGAACTGAGGCAGCCAAAGAGGTCTCTCTGACCTTAGGGGAGCCTCCAGCCTGGGGGAATGGCTTTCAGTCCAGGGGGTAAGGGTAGAGGCCCTGATGAGAGGGAGAGAGTGGAAGGGAGGGCTCAGGAGGGAACCTGCTCCCTAGAACCCTCCAGCTCCATTCTTTCCCCCCACCCCTCTCCTGCTTCCCTCCCTCCACAGGCTCCGTCTTGTCCGTTCACTCCCAGCCAGCAGACACCAGCTACATCCTGCAGCTTCCCAAAGATGCACCTCATCTGCTTCAGCCCTACAGCACCCCAACCTGGGGCACCATCCCCAAACTGCCCCCACCAGGACGCTCTCCTTTGGCTCAAAGGCCACTCAGGCGCCAGGTGAGCAGGTGTGGAAAGGCAGGCACAGGCCTGGGGCTGGACCCTCTGCTGCTGGTGATGACCCGGGTTGACACTTTCATTCTTCCAGCAAACATTTATTGTGTGCCAGTGATGTGCCAGGCTCAGTTGCAGATACCAGGGACACAATACTGGGCAAAGCAGAAGTGGTGTGTGCCTTCTTGAAATTTGCACCTGGTTCCTTGTTCCACTGAGGAGACCTGGAGACCAGAAGGGGTAGTGCTTGCCCAGGGTCACGCCTATCTGGTCGGAGGTAGAACCCAAGTCTCTGGGCTTTCCTTCCTCACCAACCAGAGCTGCCTCCCAATTCTTCTCCACACTTTGGGCTGAGCTATGGGGCACAAGGCAGGTTTTAAGTGTCTTCACTTTTGGCCAAGTCTGGGGCCCAACTTCCAGAGCCCACATTCTTTTGTTTTGTTTTGTTTCGTATTTTTGAGTTTTGCTTTTGTTGCTCAGGCTGGAGTGCAATGGCACGATCTCGGTTCCCTGCAACCTCCATCTCCCGGGTTCAAGCGATTCTCCTGCGTCAGCCTCCCGAGTAGCTGGGATTACAGGCATGCACCACCATGCCTGGATAATTTTGTGTTTTTAGTAGAGACGGGGTTTCTCCATGCTGGTCAGGCTGGTCTCGAACTCCCAACCTCAGGTGATCTGCCCGCCTTGGCCTCCCAAAGTGCTGGGATTACAGGCGTGAGCCACCACGCCCGGCCCCAGAGCCCACCTGCATAAGGTCACAGTCCATGCCGTGTGTGTGTCCTAAGGCATGAGGATGGACACATGAGAATCTCAATCTCATATGCTTGGGGCAGCAGGCACAGTCCTTATTCATTCTGTAAATAGTCACTAAGCAGCCTCTGTGTGCCAGGCACTGGGGACACAGCCCCTGCCGCCTGAAGCTCACAGTCTAATAGTGGAGACATACCTGCCATCAGATCATTGTAGCCTCAGCTCACAGCTACCAGACACCCATGTGTTGGGGGCAGCAGGGACACAGAAGAGGAAGGGGTCGGTTTTACTTGGGGATGGAGACTGTCACACACTGTGTCACAGAGAACCTGAGTCTGTAAAATCGAGGGATTCTTGCCAATCTGGAAGGGTATACAGAGCCAAAGGGGAAGTCTATGCAGAGGCGGGGAGGCGTGAAGGAGCCAGCTCAGTAAGCAGAGATAGCCTGGCTTCTCTATCATAGCCCAGGAGGCAGGGGCTGCAGAGACAGCGATTCTTGCAGGCTGAGGGGAGACCAGAGCATGGGGGAGGGAAGACAGGGTTTAGTGGGGGGAGAGGAGACATAGTGGACCACAGAGGTCAGGCTGCAATGACCCCTATCTCCAAGTAAGAGCGGCTACCAGGACCTCTGTGTAGGGTGGTCCTGCAGCGCATGGTGGTGGTGGGCGGGGGGCACAGCCAGCTTGACAGGAGGGCTAGTCCATGCTGGAGAGGAGACTGCTGGGCTGAGCCCTCCCCGCCCCCCATATAGGCAGCAATAAGGACTGACTCCTTGGACGTTCAGGGCCTGGGCAGCCGGGAAGACCTGCTGGCAGAGGTGAGTGGGCCCTCCCTGCCCCTGGCCCGGGCCTACTCTTTCTGGGGCCAGTCGAGCACCCAGGCGCAGCAGCACTCCCGCAGCCACAGCAACATCTCCAAGCACATGCCCCCGCGAGCCCCTTGCCCAGGCCCACAACCCAACTGGGACAAGGGCCCTCCAGAGACCAGAAGCAGCTTAGAGTTGGACACGGAGCTGAGCTGGATTTCAGGAGACCTCCTGCCCCCTGGCGGCCAGGAGGAGCCCCCATCCCCACGGGACCTGAAGAAGTGCTACAGCGTGGAGGCCCAGAGCTGCCAGCGCCGGCCCACGTCCTGGCTGGATGAGCAGAGGAGACACTCTATCGCCGTCAGCTGCCTGGACAGTGGCTCCCAACCCCACCTGGGCACAGACCCCTCTAACCTTGGGGGCCAGCCTCTTGGGGGGCCTGGGAGCCGACCCAAGAAAAAACTCAGCCCGCCCAGTATCTCCATAGACCCCCCCGAGAGCCAAGGCCCTCGGCCCCCGCCCAGCCCTGGCGTCTGCCTCCGGAGGAGGGCTCCGTCCAGCGACTCCAAGGATCCCTTGACCTCCGGCCCCCCTGACAGCATGGCTGCCTCGCCCTCCCCAAAGAAAGATGTGCTGAGTCTCTCCGGTTTATCCTCTGACCCAGCAGACCTGGACCCCTGAGTCCTGCCCCACTTTCCCACTCACCTTTCTCCACTGGGTGCCAAGTCCTAGCTCCTCCTCCTGGGCTATATTCCTGACAAAAGTTCCATATAGACACCAAGGAGGCGGAGGCGCTCCTCCCTGCCTCAGTGGCTCTGGGTACCTGCAAGCAGAACTTCCAAAGAGAGTTAAAAGCAGCAGCCCTGGCAACTCTGGCTCCAGGCAGAAGGAGAGGCCCGGTGCAGCTGAGGTTCCCAACACCAGGAGCTGTTGGGAGAAAGCAATACGTCTGTGCAGAATCTCTATGTATATTCTATTTTATTAAATTAATTGAATCTAGTATATGCGGGATGTACGACATTTTGTGACTGAAGAGACTTGTTTCCTTCTACTTTTATGTGTCTCAGAATATTTTTGAGGCGAAGGCGTCTGTCTCTTGGCTATTTTAACCTAAAATAACAGTCTAGTTATAATCCCTCTTCTTGCAAAGCACAAGCTGGGACCGCGAGCGCATTGCAGCCCCAACGGTGGCCCATCTTCAGCGGAGAGCGAGAACCATTTTGGAAACTGTAATGTAACTTATTTTCTCCTTTAACCTCGTCATCATTTTCTGTAGGGAAAAAAAAAGAAAAAGAAAAAATGAGATTTTACAAATGAAATGGAATCTTTTTATATATACATTACATACATATCTATATATATATATATAAAATAAAGTAATTTTCCTAAATAAAAAGCTAATCACGGTCCAGAGTAAAAGCAAAAGGGATGGAGAGTTAGGCACGTCCAGATGGCACTGATGAGAGAGAGATCCTGGAGATGGGGAGTGGGCGGTGGGGAGGGAAGCTTCAGGGCTGCCTCTTTGTGTATGAGTGTGTATGTGTTTGTGTATATGAGTGTGTGTGTATATGAGTGTGAGTGTGTGTGTGTCTGAGAGTGAGAGAACCTGAACCCTTTGCTCTGGAAGGCTGCACCTCTAGCCTGCCCTCCCCAGCTGTGAAGGAGAGGAGAAGCCCCTCCGCCTGGTGCAGGCTGGGGAGGCAGGGTCTCCTCTGCTGCTATCAAAGCTTTACTGCTTCCTCTAGCTAGGCAGCTCAGTGAATGGGAGTAATTCCAGATTAACTCTTATTTCTGCTGACAGCTATCAGCCGCACATTGAAAGCTGGAAATTGGCATAATGAAGCTGTTTTGGTTTAATGGGGCCGACTGAGGCTGGGGGAGGTTGCCTCAGAGGCTGCAGATCTGGATCTGTGGGTTGGTGGGGGAGGGGGGAAGTGTTTCTGGGTTTTCCTTCCTGAAGCTTCAGCACAGATTTGCCACACTTCTGGCTGGATGCGTGACCTGAGCTTTCTGGACTTCAGCCTCCTGCCCTTGGGGGTGGGCTTAGCTGACTGGCATTACAGGCACTGCCCGATGGGGACCTCGTCCACCTGCCCGCGATGGAATTAAGCTATATAAACGGACTGGGCTGCCCTTCCTGAGGATGAGGGTCCAGGGCTGGGCGTCCAGAGGCAACCTCCTGGTGGAGGTGGTAGGGTCGGAGGCCAGGCTGCAGGCTGCTGAGTGGGGAGCTGGCCCCCTGGGCGGTGATGAGGGAGTGCTCAAGATGTTTACATGTGCTGCTGCTGCTGCCTGCCCAGGGGGAGCCAGTGGAGAAGGGAGGTTTGAAGGTGGTCAGGGACAGACAGGCAGGAAGAGGGGGAGTGGCGTGGCCCAGGCCACCTGTCTGGTGCTACTGCAGACAATATTCTCTTGTCTGAAATCTTGGTGCCAAGAGGTGGCGACCATGGGTCCAGGCAGCCTGTCACCTAGCCACTCCCAAACATCTGTCCCAACCCCACTCCCTTGAACAGCCCTATCCCCTTGCCCCCAAGGCCTTCAAACCCCAGGAGTGGACTGGGTTCTTGAAACCTCACTGGCAATGCTCGTTCACGCACTGTCTGACCTGGTCAGCTGGGAACTGGGAGCACCAGGCTGCCGGGCGAGCGGACCTGGAGGCGTTGTCCAGCCTTGTGTTTTCTAAGCTGGGTGAGAGCTTTCCTCATTGCTCTTTTGGACAGAACTGATACCAGTCCTTGAAGCCAATGCCTGGTTTTATCCTTTTAGGGTGTGCAATAATGTCAGACTTTTTCCTCTGGCCTCTTTGGGTGGGGAGAGGGAGCGCTTGTAGGAGCTGCCATTTAAGATTTAAAAAAAAAAAGCAAAGCTATACAAAATTCCTAGAGTTCTGTCACCTGGATCTGCAGACTAAGCTTTTATATTTTTGTAGAATTCTGTAGCTGTCTATTCCCTAATGAGGTTGGAGGATATGGGCAGGGGGTTCTGGGATCTTTTATTCTTCTAGTGGTTAGAGGATTCTGGGTCAAGGTGAAGCCAGAGAGCTGGACTCCTACCCCCCCCCCCCCTTCCAGCACCCCCCACCCACCACCACCACCACTTGCACACCCCAGCAGCACTGGAGTACTGGAGAGTTGCTTAGGTTGAGTCTTAGCATGCCTGTTTCTTTCTGGGTTCCCCCTTCCCTGGCTTCCTCTTCCCAGCAGGGACCGAGGAATTTGGGGTGAACTTACTATGCTTTTGGGTTGCTTTGTAGAGATCTGCAGGGACCAGCCTGGTGAAAACAAAAAGACTCACCTACTCCCTCGCCAGCAGCCCTCTCTGTGGCCTGGAGGGTTTCTCTGGAAGAGGGCAGTGCCTGGAGGGGGGCCTCTGGATAGCGATGTGGAAATATTAATAGCAGAGTCAAATTGGGTATTTTGGGGGAGTCGGGGAGAGAACTGTGACCTCTCCCCCCAACGATGTAAAATCTTTATCAATGATGGAAACTGTTGTGTCTCATTAAAAGGGTTTTGAGGTGGAAAAGCAGCTGCCGCTGGATCTTAATAATAATATCAAGACTGCTAACCTCATGCTGCTTGTCTGGGTGGTTATTTGATGCTGCTCTGGGATACGTAGCGGGTAGGGGTAGAAGGTAGAGAAACTGAAGGAGGCTGGGGTGGGGAGTGGCTGGTGGGGGCAGCAGGCCTTGGATGAGGACTCCAGGGGCAGAATGGAACTGGTTAGGGGCTTCAGGCTTTTAGAAGTAGGAACATCTACCCTGGCGCCTTTGTCCTCAGCCTTCCCCTTTGGGGTTCAGAAGAAATTGTGTCAGCGGCTGTAGGCCCCCACCTCAAGCTTGGCTGCTTCTGCTTCCTCCACCCCCAAGACTCCAGGAAAAGGTCTGTGTGGGGGTGGGGACTGGGAAGAGGAGTGAGCTGAGCTGGGGGTAAAAACAAATCTGAGGCTCATATGCAGTCTCTCACTCCTCAAAACACCCTAGCACGGAAGTTTGATTGCTATTTCTCCATGAGGCAGCGGGGTTCAGAGAGGTTAAGTGAATTGCCCATGGTCACACAGCCAGGAAATGGCAGAGCTGGGATTTGACCCTAGGTCTGGCCAACCTCCAGCCCACACTACTCCTGTCTCTACTCAGTGTAGAGGAAATGGGGCACAATGGGAAGAATCCTGCTCAAAAATGACTTGCTGGGGGGCGCTTTTCCAAAGTAGTCACAATTCATATTCATACAAATAGGCACACGTGGTTCCCCGCATGGCAAACTCAGAGGCTTAGAGAGGCCCCCAGCCTCCCACCTGGTGGGCCACCAGCCTTTGGCCATAGGGAATGGTGGCGAGAGGGGTTCAGTCACTGGAGAAGGCATCCCTCAGCTCCAGACGCTTGTCCAAGAGCCGGCCAAGGGTAGCTCTGCAATCACTCTGGGTTCCCAGGCACCACCCTTCCACGTCATAACGCTGCCCTTGAACCCCATGGTACCTGTTCTCTTCCCCATCCCGCCCTCTTCTCTATTCCTCTCCTCTAGCCCTGCCCTACCTACCTAAACCTCGCCCACTTTCCAAACAGCTTTCACTCCTATCTCCACCCTAGTCCCCACCTGCCACAGCCTGGTGCGCCTTGGCCTATTTTCTCTTTTCTTGGGCCAGTTGAGCAGCCTGTGGAGCGGGACTGGCAACAGCAGTGCAATGAGGGCGTCAGACACCAGGTGGCGGCACAGGGCACCCTCACCTGGTGCACCTGGTGCCCCTCCTACAGAGGGACCAAGCCAGGGAGAGGGCACCAACACTGATGGACACCTTCTAGGGACAGGTGTTCTGTATAACCTCAGAAGAAGGAAGCAGGCTTGCAGGGTCCATTGAAGGACTTTGTGTATGGAGAAGCCCAAACAGGAATCCCCGCCACCTGAGTGCTGAGCCCACGGTGTTCAATGACTCCTGCCTAAATCTAGGAGACCCAGGGCTAATCCAGGACCATGGTTGCCAGGAAGGAAAGGAACTCTCAAAGCAAGTTGAGTTGTGGCCTGGAGTCCCACTCCAGGGCACAGCAAGGCAGGTCAAGGAGGCAGCTGCTCCAGCTAAGCCCCAAGAGGGGATTCTGCTAAGAACTTTAAAACTGCGTGTCTTAGCCTTGGTTCCAGGTGTGGGATCTGCTGACTGTGGCCCACAGAGCTAATTAATTCTTCTTGTTTTGAAAACTCCAGAGTCGGGCACAGCAGCCAGCACTCTCCCCTGCATGCCAAATCAGATCAAGTGCAGGTTGGTGGCAGAGGGGCAGCCTCACTGAGGGCCGTGGGTGGGGCCAGTGGGGTCACCACCAGGCTGGGGTCTGGAGGAAGCAGACCCCACTTCAGGGGAGAGGACAAGGGGCAGGCTGGGGCGTGGGAGCTACAGCCTGGTTTGGGGGTGCTCCAGGCCTCCAAGGAGCCACAAGGGGCTAAAAGGAATCAGGCGGTGCTTGGAGGGGAAGCTTTGCTATTCCACACCCTGCCCCTCTGTCTTGTGAGTTCCAACCTCCCTCTTCCCCCTTCGAAGCATTTCCTGTGCCTGGGTCTCCCCGTCCCCCACTGTTCTGCTTTCTTCTCTCTGCTGTCATGCCTGCTCTGAGCTGTACCTTGCAATTATTTTATCTTTCCATCTCCTTGCCAGGAAATCCCTGATGCCGGGTTCCCCTGGGACACTCACTGCGGGGGAGGCACCGCACACGCTCCATCCGTCCTGCCTGGAGCAGCAGTCGGCTGGGGAGGGAGGATGGGGCTTGGGCCATGAAGGCTGGGAGAGGTTTAGTCCATTTCTCTGCTGCAGCCCAACCCACAAGGCCATTATTGCTTCTCTCGGGAGCCCTTCCAGCAAGAACCATCTTGGTTCTGAACACTCGAAAGCAAAGTGGGCAGCGCCTACTGCTGGGACTGTACCTAATGTCGCAGTGGCCTTGTTGCCTATGACTCCTTCTTAGGAAATGAGGTGTTTGCTTAATCGGTCAACAACACTTCCTGAGGACCAGCTTCTCCAGGCACTGTCCTGGGTGCTGAGGATACAGTTATAAACAAACCTCAGTCCCTATCCTCAAGGTGTCCACAGTCCTCCGGGCAAGCTAAGCAAGACAGTGATTACAAGCGGAGGAAGCCTCCTAGCCCAGGACTAGGTTGGGGAGGTCCAAGGAAGGCTTTGAAGGGGTGGGGGACTTGAATGAACTCTTGAAGAAGTTTGCCGCTAGCAGAAAGGGAGGTAGGGTGTAGGTAGGAGAGTGCACCAAGCAGCCTTGAAGACAGATACAGGAAGTGCATCCCGCTCAAGGAGACTGCGCAGAAACAGCCTCCTCGGCAGGCAGACGTGGGGCACCTCCTGCCTGTGCCGGGATAAGCTCTGTGGCCCTGGGCAGGCTGTAGGGTGTCTCAGGGCCTCAGATTTCTTGCTCTGGTGAGAACAACCAAAACAATAACATCCTAGAAATATTGTGGTTATTATTCAAGGAGTCTGTGAAAGGGGACACACTTCCTGAGTGGCCCGGAGGGGTGAAGCCCCAATGCCTCAAAAGAGATGGGGGAAGGTGAGGGTCACCAAGGGCCCCCACCCCACCCTCAGAGTCCCCAACCCAGTGCTGTAGCCTTGGGAAGGCAATAGCAATAGAAAAGCCAGGGGCTACAAGGGATGGTGCCTCAGCTCTGATGCTGAAGCCAGAACCCAAGGGTCCTGGCCCAAAACTAGAGCTCTAGCCAGTGGACTGCCTGGCCATCTGCAGGGCTGGAAAGTCCCGGATGGAAGCTCAGGCTAGTTCTGGGCTCTCCATCTCAGAAAGGGGGTCTGCCTGGGGAGCTCACCTCCCAGAGGGCCCTAAAGGAAAGTCCCCAGGTCTCCTCAAGCCCAGAGCGATCTGGTGCCTATGACCCCACAAGCCCTAGAAAAGGAATGAGAGAGGAGGGAGAGTTGGAGGAAGCCGGTGGGTAGACAAGGTCAAAACACAGGGGTGGTGGGTGCTGATGAAGCCACCTGATGAAGGGTGCTGATGAAGGGTCATGGAAGGGGTAGGGGAAGATTCCCAGCTGCCTAGGCCGTAGAAGCCTGGCCCACCAGGGCTGGAAGAGAGCTTAGATATCACCTTGTCCACGTTTCTCAAGAAATGAAGTCCCAGAGACATCAAGGAGTTTATTGAGATCACACAGTGTATAAAAGGTACAGAGGGGGATTGGAGGGGACTGAGTTAGTCCCTGCCCTTGGGGACCTCTCAGACTAGCAGGGAAGACAGACTCTTCATAACTAAATATAACCCAAGGCACACTGTAACAAGGTGTAAAGCTCTGTAAAGTCTTTTGCCCAGAGAGGAAGGTCGGAGGACAGGAGAGGGAGGATGTGTGTGGATGAGTGGAAGGGAAGAGGGCAGACAAAGAAGGGGTGGAAAGAACTTGCCCAGTGGAGGGGTAGGAGTCCCCGGTCTCACTGCCTGGGAAGGGGGAGTCTTCCCCACTCCCACGCTTATCCCATGCCCAGCCAGATCTTGGTTCTGATAGCCTATAGCCAAGGAGACTTCCCTTCTAGTGACCTCCTGCCTGCCCAGAGAGATAGGAAGTGGTTTGTCGCTTCTGCACTCTTACTGGCTCCCACCCACGCCTGCCGCTGAGCAGCCAAGGAAGGAAACACCTTCTCTTGAGAACAAGGGTCAGAAAAGGGGTCACCAGGGTGAAACTGGACAGACCTGTGTGCAAAGGCAGGGAAGAGAAGGGCCAGGGAAAGATCTGCCCAGGAGAATTCCTTCTGAGTCCCAACAAGGGATGCTGAGTTGGCTTCTGGGATTGTGTTAAGGAAGACAGGGCAACAGCGGGATTGAGAGATGGAGGCATCCCCACATCTGAGGGGATACGGGGAGAAGGAGAGCTGAGGCAAGCAGGGGAAGGAGAGCACTGACAAGCCCATTTTACAGATTGGGAATGTAGAGTTTCAGCCTTAGGAGGGGGACAAGGACACTCACGTGGGGCTCCTCCTGGGGCTTCGCCTGTCCTTCCCCCCACCCTGATCAGGCTGAAGCAGAGGGAATTCACACATGTTGGGTGCCCCACTAAGTGTGCCAGGCGATACACTTTGCATACCTTTTCCATTCAATCCTCAGAGAACCCTGGGAGGAAGATTCTTCTATGATTGTCTCTATTTTACAGATGTGAAAGTAGAGGCCCAGAGAGGTGCTGAAGTGATGTGGCAAGGTCAGGGGGCCACAGAGCCTAAAAGGGCAGCAGTTTAAGAGGACATAGGAGGCCCCCTGGAGGATGCTGCGGCCCCCACCCCCGCCTCACGGGTACACACCCGCGCAGTACACCCCGGTTCCCAGAGCGTGGCGCCTGCCAGTGGTCTCTGGAACCTGACGAGGAAGAGGTCAGCTTCCGGATTGAGCACAGAAGCCCTTCCCATTCTACAGATGAGGAAACCGCCCTCCGGAGAGGAACCTGACCTTCTCAAAAATTCCTTTTTTCCTAGGAAGGATTGTTAAATCCCTCTCCCAATGTCCCCTACTCAGTGACTCATCGGCCCCACGGAGTTGTTCGGGGGTGGGAGCGCCTGTGTATCCCAGTTCCCCCTTGGAAATAGACTC